AACTGAGCTTTCATGAGGTTTCTAACCAAACTGACAGTGGCAAGGGAGACTTGCTGGCATTTAGTATAGTGTACCTGATAATTTGACTTGATCTCCTTTTTAAAAAATAAATTTTATTTATGATCAAGAGAGAGGAAGTGCTTTCTTACTCTCTCCAAACAGCCCTGATAGCTGGAGCTGATCCAATTTGAGGCTGGCAGCCAGGAACTCAATCTAGGTCTCCACATAAGTGACAGTATCCCAGTGATTGAGTGATCACTGCTGCCTTCCCAGGGTCCACATCAGCAGGAAGCTAGAATCAGGCAAGAGCTAGCCCAGGCACTTTGACGTGCACATGGGCTTCCTAATCAGTGTCAACCAGCAGGCCAAACACCCACCCCGACTTTAACTTCTTAGTTTACCAACACACATGACAATAATATAGCATTTCCCTAAAGGATTTTTTCTGAATAAGGCTAAGAGATTATTTATATCATTTATTCATTAAATGCATATTTACTAATTTTTAATAAAAATAGATAGTCACTTCTTTGAGAGTTTGAAGTAAGAAACTGAAGGTCCAGTTATTTGTTTTAGTTTTCTCTTTACACTTTGTGTCCTACTAATACACAATATATGCTATATTGTAAATAATACATTTTTAGATGACAGTTGACTTTGAGAAAGCCATTATTTTTTCTGTGCTTCAGTTTCTTTATCAATCAAATGGAGAAAATACCTCTTTCTTAGTATGTACTTTGCAGACTTTTTGCAAGAATGAAAGTAAAATCACAAATGTTATGTGAAACTTCTCTATATGATAATGTACCATACAAATGAATTTATTCCTGTGGCTCTGGGTTATTTTAAGATTATCAAAGTAATTAATGAATGCAAACATTATCCCTTAGTAGAATGATAATATCCTTCTGTGTTCTCCACACCAGCATCTATCTGAACTATGTGTGACATCTTATTATATTGTCATGCATCTGTACATTAGATAGGCTGACTATGCCTAAACTATTAATCATTATTATTTTCAATTCCTGGAAAAGGAAAATTAAAATGCAATCTCTTGGTAGGAAGCTAACCTGATATCCTGAAGAACTTGACAGGAGAGTTAGTCTCTCTATATTGGAGATACAAATGTAATTAACAGTGTCAAATACTTTTCTTCCATTAGTGAACAAAATCAGCAATCTGAGACACTGTTTGTCACTTGAATAACAAGCAGCTGTGTGTACATGCTACATCTTAGGACAATACTTTAAACCTACACCTCTACTGAAAGTGTCTTCAAGGGAGAGAGGGCCAAGAATCAGTAACCAACTAATTGCCTTTTATTTCTCTAGGATGAATTCTATCACATTTACTGAAGTATAGTCTAATGTTTTTAGGCATTGGTTCCCTTTCACAAAGCAATTTTTTTTAATTTTAAAAGATTGCGTGTGATAGAAATTTTTAGACTTTACAATTTTTTCAAATTGTATTTTTTAGAAAAATTGAAAAAAAATAATATAATGATTAGCTAGCTGCATCCTGGGAAGGCAGCACAAACAGCAAAAGCAGATGGATATATAAATCTACCATATTATGAAGGTATATTTATCTTTTCATTTTTGAGGGGAAAAGTCGATGAAATGTTCACTATATTACATATCCAAGAAAAGTAGGCAAAATAAAAATACCAAAGCAATCTACTATGGAAAATTAGACAAACTAATAAAGAAAAACTTTGTTTCGACCTTGATTCAACTTGACTTCATTTGCTCATATAAGTAAAATTTTAGTCACAGCCACACAGATCATAATAATTTTCTAACATTCACTTAACATGATTTTGGCAATTAAATTATAGTTATAAATGTACATAAAATACATATAAAACTTTAAATATGTAGTAAAAATATTCAAATACAGAAAATATAAAAATAAAACACATAAAAATTACAGGATATATACATTTATTAGTATTCTAATGACATACATGTGCTTATACACATATACCTCTACATATTATTTCCAAGAATATTGAAGGATAAGACGAACTTTTTAAAAAACATGTTTGAACTGCTATTTTGAATAAATGAATGAATATGATAAGAAGCTTATCATAAGTTGTTCTTCTGATTTATGTTCCCTGGCATCTCCATAGAATCAACATGAATACTTGTTGCTTGCATGAGTCTCATCCCATAACACTACTGGTGACTTGCAGTATTCATAACCATTTCCTGCTGCACTTTAAATACCCAACCACAGGCTAAAATAGAAGCTAAAATTTGTGTAGTATCGCTATAGTTTCCAGAATATTGTGTTAAATTCTTAATCTTCACCTATAGCTAAGTCGTACAATGATAGGCATTTAATAACTGTAATAGCCCTTTAAGAAGACGACCAGGTGCCTTAATCATTGTAGAAACATAAAAGCTTATCACCCAAACCACTGAGGAGTGTTTTGTAAGCAGCATACTTTCTAAACTTCTTTTGACTCTATGTACTTCTTTTCAGCTCTTCCCTTTCCAACACAGTCTCAAGTACTGGACCATTTCAAATCAAATCACTGGGAAAGCCTCATATCTGCTCTCGCTATAGACACTACAGGGCTGTTCTCATCCATTTTCCACGACACATTCAGCTTAAACTTTATAGAATGTGCATCTGAGCATGCCATGACACAAGCCAAAACCCTTTCGAAGACTTTGCACCGCTCTTATGAAAGCCCGTTTACCTGAAATATTCTTTTCCCCATAACTGTTTCTACTTTCCCCTAGTTTAGACCTATGGATCCTTCAGACTTCAGCTTAGATACCACATATTCGTTAGTATGTTCTCAACACTATGGGGTCCTTTTTAATATCACTCTCCTTTAGAATAAAAGCTCCATGAAGAAATGGTACCAAGTCAAGCTATTTTGCTGAAATAAAGAGTGTCATAAAGGAAAAAAAAAATACACATAATGTCATTTGCCTAAGTACTACCTATGTTAATCTTGCATTCATTGAATTGTTTCTTTAAACTGTCTAAATTCTACATGTTTGCTTTAATAAAGTATATCTTTCTAACAATCAAGCCTCTCTTGGAATGTTCAGAAAACAACTTAGCAATAAAAACCATTGTTTGCCTTTCCAAGTGTCCTGAGAACTCTTTACATAAGCCCAGCCAGTAAGCAACTGCTCTTAGACTCGTGTACTTTGTATCAATGCCTTTTAATTTAAAATTTCTTTTTAGGAGGTGTTTTTAATATCACTGGATGTGAAGAAATCTGTTCTGAATTTATATAATTTAAAATCAGTCCTAAAAGTCAGTGATTTATGAATAGCACTGACCTGATGATGGTTTACAACATTTTTCCCTCCTGACAGGAGACCCAAGCTGGGAGAAATAAAACATCCCAATTCTCATTAATGGAAACAGAGCTGAACAGACAACTGTAGCTGCTGAAGGCTACTGACGCTGCCAGGAAATTCTAAAAGCAAAACCAAGGCTGGGCTGGCAGATCAATGTGCCTTTCATGTACAATCCTGAAATATAAAACCACGGAATTTCCAATGTTAACAGACACTTCTGTCAATATTGATTTAGGCACTTATTAGTTGTATATTATTGAAGAGATTAGAGAAATATTGACTTTACAAATCTAGATTCTGGTGAAGGTATATTCATATGCTAGGTAATCCACTTCCAACTTTGGGAGGTGGCAACTGAAGCTTATTATTCTGTTTACTAAAGATAACGAGCACGTGTATTTCCTCTGTTAGAGGAGACTGGCCCTGAATAAAATTTGCTAAGTTAATTAATACGTATTTACGTCAGAGGACTCTGAGATTGAATTAAGGCCATCCTCAAAGTCTCTGTGCTTCTTTATCTAACAATCCATTCATTTAACAATCACTGAGCACCTACTATGTGACAAACAACTTTGCAGTTCACAAGCTAGTGGAGGACCCAGAAGGATAAGCAGGACACACCTCACTCTCCAGCAGGTAAGTACAGGTTTTTCTTAGAGCACAGCTGTAGAGAGCACCCACCTAGAGAGAGAACCTGCTTCCTAGCCCAGCTCAGACTTGCTCAGCTTTAGTCAGCTCTTTCATCCCCACATACCTACAGTTGCAAGACCAACAGCTTCAGGTGAAGCCATTAGTCCTGCCCTGATAAAAACCCCCTTCCAAATTTTGTCATCCAGTTTCTTTTGGAGTGCTGACATCATGGTGTTTCTTCACATTAGAGAGCTTTAGCAACACAAGGAATATCCAGGACCTTAAAGATTGTCTTTAATTTTCAGAAAAAGTAATTTGCACCTACTTTAGCTTAAAAGTTGAATCTATTACAGAATATAGTAGATTGTGGATAGAATCAGTAGTATGACTGTAAGCTCCCTGAAGGAAACCTAGTATTTTTCTACAAAGTTGGCCAGTGGCAAGTGCTTGTTAAGTCGATCTAATTGCTGAATCTCAAGAAAAGATGAGTTTCCAACTAAAGTGTTTATATTTATTTAAAATCCAAGGAGACAGGGACCAAGGTGAATGGCTTCTATCCTGCATAGAATACAAACATTCTTCTCGCTATGAATGGCAAATCTACATGGGGAAGGGTTCTGTGAAGAATACAAACACTCAGTAATGCTGCAAAGAAGACTGAAGTGTATGCTTTTCAATTTCCCACTGAGCTCTCAGCTGAACCCTCTGCTCCATATTCATTTATACAAGAATATATGTCTATGTTCATAAAAGAATATTTATATAATCCTTGTGTGTGTGTGTGTGTAATATATACAACATCTAATATCTGCCTGGCTCTGCTCTAGGTGTTCGAGATACATCACAGGGGAATAAAACGGATGTAACTTACATTCTGCCTCATTTACCCAGTTGAGACCTGTTCAAAGAGTACTCATCCTGTGCCTGGAACTGTGCTAAGCATTCGCAGAAACTTAACATGGCATCCGTCCAAAAAGAAGCTGTCCACAATACGATAAAATTACACAGAGGAAAATGTTCCGCTGCTGTTTCTCTTACCTTGTAATGAATTGAAGATGGAGAAGAGGTACATGAAAGCAATATTTAAGGGTCCCCAGGCAAAGAAGGCAAAACCCCATGTCATGCCCAGCAGGAATGTCAGGCTAACCACACTGCGCAGGTTTCTTAAAACCTCTTCTCTCAGGGTCCGGCTGCTTCTCTTGCCATTCCTCCCGCAGATTTGCACCATTACCACAATGAACATGGCAACATTCAGTAAAAACATGACTCCAAAGTACCCAGTGCAGGTCACATAAAATATGACTGGATCTTGAATCCAACAGCTTAAAAAACAAGAAGAAATGAGAAAGATTTACTACTATGCCATACCCTGTTTACCTAGGATTTCCCTTGACTTAGGTTGTACTACTGCAGACTTCTCTCTCAAATGCCTTTAGAAAAGTCACTTCACTTCCCTGCCCCTCAGTTTCTTCATTAAACTTTTCATATGTGTCTGTTAATGGGTGATCACCATCTTTTTTTAAAAAAAATTATTTATTTATTTGAGAGGTAGAGTCACAGACAGAGGGAGAGACAGATAGAAAGATCTTCCATCTGCTGGTTTACTCCCCAAATGGCCACAATGGTTGAAGCTGGGTTAATCCAAAGCCAGGAGCCAGGAGCTTCTTCTGGGTCTCCCAAATGGGTGCAGGAACCCAAGCACTTGGGCCATCTTTCACTGCTTTTCCAGGCCATGGTACAGATCTGGAATGGAAGAGGGGCAGCTGGGACATGAACCAGCACCCATAAGGGATGCTGGCACCACAGTCTGAGGCTTTGATTACTATGCCACAGTGCCAGCCCCCGACTGTGGCATAATATCTAGTGAAGTTACTGTCAAAAAGAAAAACCAGGTAGCTTTTAGAATCCTGACTTGGTATGAAAGTACTCTTGGTTGGCTCACCCTAAACCATGCCTGAGCTCCTTTTCTCTAAGAAAGGGAAATTTAAGTATGTAATGTTGGCCTCTTGATATTTAAAGGGTGGCCATGTGATGCTGGTCTACAAAATGATATGGAAGCAAAAATCTGCTAAGGGATTTTTGGGGAGAGCTGCTTTTGACGGATTGGCTGGCAACTCCTTATTCATTCTTCCTGCTACAAACATGACAGTGAGAGACTGAGCTGCCACAGCCATCTTATACCATGAGAGGGAAGTCAAGAAAGCTGTAGAGTTGTTGTCCCTGGCATTTTTAGCCATAAAATCAATGCCAGTGGTTGTCTATTTCCATGTTTCTTGTTACATGCAAAGAGTAAATTCCTATTTATTTAAGCCACACCTAATTGTGAGTTCATTACTATAGACAAAATAACTCCCATCAATATAATTAGCCTAATTGAGGGAAGAACTTTAGTTAGAGAACTATGGAGTTCTTAAAAAGACACTTCCGACCCATGATTACAAACCTACACTGATTATAAATCATTCTTATGAGATACAGAAGGATATTTTTGATATTCAGATTGAACAGTTAAGATAACAGATGAAACAGTAAAACCTAACTGTGGGCAAATACGCTGTGAGCAAAGCTGACAGCCACTGTAATTTGCAGATGTTCTAGTGTCTTATTAATGCTACAGAAATTCTTAGGTACCTCAAAAACAGAAATGATTTAAGGTAATTCAATTCATCTTAAAATTCTAGAATAAGGAGTCAGCATTGTGGCATAGCAAGAAAAGCCACTATATGCAATGCCAGTATCCCATATGGCCACTGGTTTGTATTCTGGTCACTACACTTCCCATCCAGCTCCCTGCGTGTGGCCTGGGAAAAGCAGCTGCAAGTGGCCCAAGTACTTGGGCCCTTGCCACCCACATGAGAGACCCGGATGAAGTTCCTGACTCCTGGCCCAGCCCTGGCCATCTGGGGAGTGAATTAGCGAATGGAAGATCTCTCTTCCATCCTCCTTCTCTCTAACTCTTTCAAATAAAATAAAAGTAAATCTTTTTAAGAAATTATAGGATAAATGGTCATCATTCTCAAGCATTCCACACTATAATATGATCTCTATAGAGGCAAAAGCTGTCTTGAACATCTTTCAATTCTAGAACCTAACAGAATTTTTGGCATATAGTAAATGTTAAATAAAGAGACTTGTAGATGATATAGAAATTTACTAAAGAATATAGCAATTAACATACTTTTAAAAGTCCCTTATTCAGAATTGATAGACTATTACTTACTTTTTTAAAAAACAAGGTTTTATTTATTTGAGAGGTAGAGTTACAGACAGTGAGAGGAAGAGACAGAGAGAAAGGTCTTCCATCTGTTGGTTCACTCCCCAAACAGCCACAATGGCAAGAGCTTGGCCAATCTGACCAGGAGCCAGGAGCTTCTTTTGGGTCTCCCAAGCCGGTGCAGGGGCCCAAGTGCTTGGCCATCTTCTACTGCTTTCCCAGGCCATTGCAGAGAGCTGGATTGGAAGAGGAGCAGCTGGGACTAGAACTGGCACCCATATGGGATGTGGGCACCTCAGGTGAAAGATTAACCTACTGCAGCACAGCACTGGCCCTTTTATTTACTTTGAGAATTCCTATTATAAATGTCTCTAAAATAAGTCTGCTTTCCCCATACCTAACTTTTCTTCCTACCTGGAAGATCCTCTAAAATCTGGAAATTCCTGACTTAGATCCATGCTTGCCTTCTCTTCTTGTATGGTCTTTTGAGTCCACTTAAGAAACATGAAGGAGCAAAAACAAAGGGATTGGACAGACTGGACAACTGATTGGATATCTCAATGATCTCATAGCCTAAAGGACACTTTCTAAATTACTCAAGAATGCAATGTTCTATTCTCTACCTTTCTATACAGCATTCATAAGGGCACGAGTCACTCACTGATACTATTTAGTTCTCTTAGAGATGTGTGTGCGCTTGAGAAGGTCTGAGTATTATGGAATGTGCTGAAAGATTGTGTCTTCTGAGGCTAGAAGGTGATATTTTGGGTTTTCTGGATTCTCTACAATGATGGCGCACAATGTTAATGTGAAAAAGCAGCACAAACATTCAGATCATGCAACTGAATTAATCTGTGTTGCAGCCAAGACCTTAGCAAATCATGTAAATGAACTTCAACCTTTTAAAATGATAGCCTTGGGGTCAGTGCTGTGGCACAGCGGGTAAAGCTACTGCATGTAGTGCTGGCATCCCATATAAGCACTGGTTCGACCCAGCTGCTCCACTTCCAATTCAGCTCTCTGTTATGGCCTGGGAAAGCAGTAGAAGACAGCCCAAGTCCTTGGGCCCCTGCACCCATGTGGGAGGCCTGGAGGAAGCTCCTGGCTCCTGGCTCTGGATCGGCACAGCTCTGGCCATTGCAGCCATTGGAGAGTTAACCAGCGGATGGAAGACCTCTCACTCTCTCTTTCTCTGCCTCTCCTTCTCTCTCTGTGTTACTCTGACTTCCAAATAAATAAATAAATCATAAATAAATAAATAAAAAATGACAGCCTCATGACTGGCATAGAAAATTACACTAAACTTTAGGAAACACACACCCATTACAGATCAGTTCCCCCAAAGCTTTTACTACTTACAATTCATCACCTTGTTCTTTTCCATAACTTTCTTTTCCGTAGACTTCATTTTGGTTTCTGCTAGCTAGAACAATGGATACCACTAGGGCAGGCAAACCTGTTATAAAAGGACCATGACATAGGAAATCATTGTGAAGCACCTGGAACTGCTTCGTAAGATTGACAATGGCAAGGGGGGGGGGGGGAACACTCCATATCACAGATTCAAACTTCTTGGAACTGGCAATCTGATATTTTAAGACAACAGCAAAATCTCCTTGGTGTAGAAAACCCAATTCTAATCAGCAACAGTCAAAACCTACTATTAAAAGACAGATATTTAAATGTTGGGTTTGCTTAGCGGTATCCACCAGAGGACCCACAGTCTGATTTATAGTGAATCCAGCACTAGCAGATGTGGTTTCATTAATGACACCTCATTAGACTGCTAGAGTTCAGACAGATAAGGTAATTGCAGATGATTTTGCCTCTTTCTATAAAAGGAAGTATCTTAAGAAAAACTAAGGGAAAAAAAAACCAGGGATTTAAAATCTATAATATTTTCTCTTCTCTCAAGAGAATCAATAAAGTGTTTCCATGCCTATTTTGGTGGGGAGATGCTCTACCACCCTAATTCCCTGAAATATTCTTTCATTGCCTCCAAAGGTGGTGGTGAATATCTTGGAAATGTCTCATGCTTAAATATTGCCATCTGAAAAAGATTTGTGGGAAAGCTCTAAAACGCCTGGCCTGATACAAAACCCAGATAAAGAAGGGAGCTCAAGGAACAGATTCCAAACAGCCCAACACAACCGTCCATATCTGACAGAGGATTCAGGTTAAAAAGTTCAAGGTAGAATTCTATGTCTTTTGTTTGCATACACAAAAATAACATTCTTTCTCTAGTTTCTAAGACCTGGTCATGCATCTGGGGATGAGTACGGCCTGGATTCTCAGCTGGCCGTTTTATTTTGAAGCATAATGGAAATGGATCGCTCTCTGCCAGTTGCTGCTTCTTTGGACTTGGGTGGGCTGGCACTGGGCTCAGGAAATAAATTGTTGGTGACTCAGGAGCTAGGGCTACTCCTTTACTCCTGAATTTAGTGAGTTATCATGGAAGAGTTTTTAAAAAGACCGTTCTGAAGATGACCCTAATCTACACTGTTCATAATTTTAAAGGTCTCTCATAACATTACTTTTCTTTAGACAAAAGGATTTTCCTGTGAGAATCTGGCAATACTTATGAGAGAAACAAAATAACACCCTCAAATTTCAGGAGGCTTACCCCAGCCAATGATGCAAAATTTTAGAATATACCGGCGAATGTAAGTGTTAAACACTTTCACCAGGGCAATGTACATGTGAATGGCTTCTAGTCCCATCCAGGTAAAAGTTGCCAGAAGGAAGAAGTGCAGTAGGGCAGCCACGGCAGTACAAAGCCCATCCACATCAAAGGAGGTGATCCAGCCGTCCAGGAGGAAGATGAGATTCAGGAAGAGCAGGGCTGTACTGAGGTTCATCAAGATTTTGGAGGGATAATCCCTTCGCAATTTCCTAAAAGCAGAAAAATAGAAATAAATACAAGAACTCATATTGTAAATAAATCACTGAAGCACAGACAGTAAACTCACGTCTTATACAGCCCTGAGATAGGTTGCAGGGAACTATCTTTTCAACATGGTTCCACTAGGAGAAGGGCTAAAGATAATTATGAGTATTTGGCCAAGTTGCAAAGACTTTTAAAATATTAATTTTATTTCAAAATTGTTTCCAATAATTTAAAAAATCCCAAAGGATGTCAATGGATTTTCTTTAATCCAGGAAAATTTCTAAAGTTACAGGAATGATATTTTTATTGAAAACAAATTTCCAAGGGTGGGGGTTTGGCACAGCAGTTACTGCTTCGGATATCCACATCACATCCCATACTGAAGTGCCTGGGTTCAAGTCCTGGCTCTGCTTTCTATTATAGCTTCCAGCTAATGTGCAACCTGGGAGGTAATAGGTGATGGCTCAAGAACTTCGGGTCATTGCCACCCTTGTGGGAGATAGGGACTGTCTTCTCAGGTTCTGGTTTCAGCCTGGCCCAGCCCTAGTTACTGCATGTATTTGGGAATAGAATCAGTGGATGGGAGACCTCTCTCTATCTACCTTCCAAATCAACAAAGTAAATTTTTTCCAGGTTTTTTTAAATCACTTTTTTTCATGAGTTATGGATAATCTTTCTTAAATTTCCTATGTTAGGGCTGACTTTATAAAATTTATGAAGCAAATATCTTCATCTTTTACAATGTAGAAAGGATTTTTAAATACTTTTTAATATATTTCAATGTTAATCATCCCTAACAGGTTTGCATTCATTTTAGAAAAAGAAATACAATAACGATAAATTAAGATTCTGTAGCTGGAAAATCCATGTTGCATGATATATCTATGAAAAATCTGAACATTGAACTTGAACCACCCTACATGATTCACAAAGTGTATAAATGTTTTTAAAAGCCAAGACAATTTTCCTATTCACATTTGGAACAGTTCACACTGGGCTTGGCAGAGAGAAAAATACTTACTCAAAAGCAACATATGTCAGGAGAGTTGCTGCCGAAAAAATAGCAGATATTCCACACCCAATATAGGTGATGAAAGTGAGGACTTTTGTGTTTCTTGCATCTATTTGTGAGGCACTCCTTGGAAGGTCCTGCACAGAACATGGAAGCAGCCATAAGAATTCCTTTTCTCATGAGAACAGTAATTCGTTTCACTAGAAAGTTTACTGCTAACATTAGGGCAACTCAACCCAGGGGCTAAAAACAACTGTGTAAATCAACATAGACATCTTCATTTATTGTACTCTTGTGGATCAATAGAAGAAGGAAAAATGTAGCATTATTGCCAAGAAGAGTAGCTTATTGTTTTTTTAATTTCTTTCCCAAGCTCTTTGCACACCATAGAACATGCATAGCAAAACCACAGGGTCTCCCAAAAGAAAATGAAGAGGAGGTAGTTGCCTGTGTGTGATAAGTTATCAGAACCATTTTTAAGTTTACAAGGCTAATGCATGAGTGTGAATGAAGTACATTGTGGCCCACATGGCCCAAACCCTTGGACCCTTAGATTCCTTGCCTGGCAGGGAAGCAGGTGCTGGTGCTTGGACTGACCAGCTCTAAGGACAGTGCTGACACTCTTACCATTGTCATTTCAAAGCTGGGTACATACAAGATGGGTGGCTAACTTTTTTCATAAGTCAGAAGCCACTAAAGATTTTGGGGTCACAGTTTTTGTCCCTATAGACCTGGAAGGTCACAATTTGAAGTACTGTGGGGTGTGGTGGAATAAAAAGAAGTGAACACTTCTCAGCATATTAATATGAAGCATTAATTTATATATGCTGTGCTATATTTGGAATGTCTAGGCCATGTAGAAAATTCTTTCCACTCCTTGCTAAATGGTGGTTTGGAATAGGAATAAATCATGAGGGAAGAGCAACTACTCCATCCCAGTTTGAGGAGAAAGTCACCTCCATTATGCAGATTTAAAAAATGGAGCCTTCTTGAAACAGAGATGTCTTGAACTTTCATGTCTTAAATTATGAAATAGTTTTGTCTTATAATTTTTTCTTTCTATATGTTACCATTCTTTCATTTTTATCAAGATGACAACAAAATCTGCTATTCACACATAGGCTTCCAGTAAGTGGTATTTGTTTGTGTGGAGTCAGTTCCAGGTTTGCCTAATGGAGTATGGAACAGGTAAAGTAACTTTATGACATCAAAAATCACATAAAGCGATGGAATGAAGAAGAAGCAGTGCTTAGAATCAGTAGAACTTCCACTGCCTTCTCCCAGGAATCCTTCAAAGCACTGGCAGGACATGGGGTGTCCACAGCACATGAGATAGGGATACAGTCCATGACACAGCACATGAGATAGGGTTACAGTCCATGACACATCACTACCACTAAAAAAGCCCACGGTACCTAAGTAGGTAAGCCTATTGGCTTACAAACTATAAGTAAACCCGGTCTTTATGCTAAAAATTAAATTAAACATTGCTATTTATCAATAGATATTAACACTCAATTCTTGTTATACTTTAAGAGAATGAAAATATTTATTTCTCTGAATTAACTAGCATGAAAATGTACAAATGTTAAAAATATAAGTCAGTTTTACTCCAAAGAAATGTAGCTGAAGACATTAAATTCTTCATACATCTGCAGATTAGAAGATGTAATTGTGGGGCAGATGTTTGACCTAGTGGCTACGATCCTGCATCTCATATTAGAGTACATAGGTTTAACACACAGCTCTGGTTCCTGACTCCAGCTTCTTGGTAATGCAGATCCTGAGAGACAGCACTGACAGCTTAATTAACTGGGCTCCTTCCATCCATGGGCAGACCCAGATGGAGCTCCCAACCGTTGACTTCAGGCCAGCTCAGCCCCAGACACTGTGGGCATTTGGGGAATGAATCAGTAGATGGGAGCGCACTCTCTGTATCTCAAATAAGTAAATACATTTTTAAAAGGAAAGACATAATTATGGTTGAATGTGTCACAGGGCAATTAAGACTCCAGGATATCTTGGGCAAATGAATAAAGTGACTGTAAATCAAGAAAAAATCTAAACAGAGTCTTGGTGGTCTGAAAAATCTAAAAGGACATGGGTATGCCTCCAGAAAGCATAAATTCTGAGAAGTTTTTCTTCGAGCACTTTATGGTCCTATAAAAACAGCTAAGAAAATGGAAGAGCAGCACTTAAAAATGCAAGATGCACATCTCCATACGCATGTTACATTAACTATTTAATCAGATGGCAACAAAGTACTATATAGCTACAAACCCACAACAGAATTTAAACAATATAGGAACTAACTCATGGTTTAAAAAATGGGTGAGTTTTAATACTGTTATTTATTTAACATTATTATAACACAATCACACATGTGCACACATACACACAGCTGAAATATATGAATGAATTAAGCTAAAACATATAGTTGAATAAACAACTGTACAAAGTAAGTGTTTTCGGAGAGAATTCCTATTATTACTTTTGGAGAAAAGAGAACACAGAAGAACACAGGTTTTCTTTTTAACTACTTAGAGCACACATGCCATGGTTTAGTTGTTCATGTGCATGCTCTGACTGTGAAGAAAATAATATTTATATGTTGAGAAAGTTGAATTACTTTCTGAGATTTGGCACCTTTGTAACTGACTTGTTCTCATGCTTCAGGGCACTTCTGTACCAGGTTGTCAGGAAAATTACAACTTGCAGAGTTGCCATATGACAATGACCATTTACATAGGCCAAGCCGATTCAGGAGCCAAATGCTACAGCCCACAGTTCCTCACTGCTTCCTCCCAGGCCCCACAGGAAGAAGGGTATACGATTTAAGGGTGGGGATAAACACAACCTGTGTCTGTGATTCCAATTCAAAAAGCTTTATTGCTTCAGCTCACATTTCTTCCATCTCCTCTGAAGAAACAAATGCGGTTCGGCGCCTTTATGTAGGCAACACAGCAACAACGGCTATGTCACAATCTGAAGGGTGCCTGGACACCAGGAAAGTATTTCCAAAAACACAAGTGAATCAAATAAAGGGAAAAGGTTTAACTCTGCAGATGAATTCAAACAAGCTGTTGGATGCAGGGTGGCTCCTGAATACTCGGTGGGATGAAGAAACATGGGTATGATGTAATTTTTGTTTAAACTGTTGGGCTGGCTGGCTAACGAGATAAATGAACAGCATCATGGGAAGGAAGGAAATGAGAAAGGAAGGAAAAATACGTGAAGGCCTGAGGATAGGAAAACAGCACACTCAACATTTTTTGTAGGACTTAGGTCTCCATTCTAACCCCAGTTGCTAGTGTGTTGGAACAGAATATTAACTCCCCCAGGGAGATCACCTGGCACAAAACCTGGTACCAAGTGGCATTCAATCATATTGAGTGATGACATAAGGAAGACAATTTTTGATCAAAGTATTCACATTTAGCTTCCATGTTAGTAACACCTGATGCTTTTATTTCTTTAACATTCCCTCCTTCCTCTCAAGTCTCCATGTCTGTCTCCTTATCCCAGTTCTTTCTTAACTCAATGATTTGATGGGGTTAGGATCATTTATCATCATAATTACTGCCAATGGGGAAAGAAGGTATAATTCTCGCCTGGAATTAGTTTAAAATATTTTTGACTTATGATCTCTGCTAATTAGATTCTTCTCTAAGAATCAAGGTTCAGGGTCAGATGAGTATGATCAGAAAACAATTCCCAAACAATCTAAAATGTTGAACTCAAAAAGAAATATGCTTTCCACAGTCATATTATGTCAAAATGAGCTCAAAGGTTCCCTCCTTACCATCAGAACTCCAAAGTGTGTGAAGTGGTTACACAGACAGATAGTCTCACTTGCATCTGAATCTCTGTGTGCAATACATCCGGACGTGTTCCAGCCTCCAAAACTTTCTGTAGAAGAATCAGCAAACAGCATGGAAATAATAGTGGGTCAGTGTCTTCTCTGCAACCGATGAAACCTTTTTTCAGGAAATTTGCCTTCTGCTTACTGAGTTTAACTGTAAAACACGTATCACTCTGGAAGCTATCAATACTTAGAATAATTTCAATTCCTGGAATCATGGTGATAGAAGTGCCAGGTGGGCAGTGCAGATTATCTATCCAGTGCTTTCAATGTGTGTACCATAGAATGGCCTCAGGGATTCTGCATGTTTGATTCAACTTTAATTTTAACATATTTTAAAATAAAATTGTGGGGCCAGTGCTGTGGTGTAGCGGGTAAAGCCACCACCTGCAGTGCCAGCATCCCATATGGGTGCCAGTTCAAGTCCAGGCTGCTGCACTTCTGATCCAGCTCTCTGTCATGGCCTGAGAAAGCAATAGAAGACTGCCCAAGTCCTTGGGCCCCTGCATCCGCATGGGAGACCTGAAGGAAGCTCCTGGCTCCTGGGTTCAGATCTGCGCAGCTCTGGCCATTGCGGCCAACTAGGGAGTGAAACTTGGATGGAAGACCTCTCTCTCTCTCTTTGTCTCTCTCTCTCTCTCTCTCTCTGCCTCTCCTTCTCTCTCTGTAACTCTTTCAAATAAATAATCTTTAAAAAATAAAATAAAATTGTATGAAAAGAATACTGCTTTTCAAATGTGTTTCGTGCTCATGAATTCTCTGTGGATTAGGACATTTTCCCCTCTATGGTTGTTCTACATCGTTGTGAATATATAAGAACAGGGGGGGTCTGTTTCTTTAGAATATGCTGTTAGGTACACACCAGTCCCATGTGATAACATGCACATTTATCATGACAGCAGCCTGTACTGGCGCTGAATGGATTTAGCCACAATAATTTCAAGCAGAGACAGGCACAGGAGGTTCCCTCACTTGTACTTCTTCTCTCTACACCTTATGCCTAATGATTTGTTTATCCTTAATTTCATCTTCCTTTATTGATTGTTAAGCATAATTTTGGAAGCTGCTTATTTCTTTCAAGTAATATGTGTCCTTAATAATCCTTTCTATACTGATGTTCTCTTAGCATGCTTCTCTTCTCCTCTCCTAATCTGAGGTCTGAAAACTGGATTTCAAATCATACGCCTCACGCATACCAAATGATGCTCTGAGATGTGTCCTTAAAAAATGGAATCAAATAAACACTACAATCATCTGAAAGCAGTTATAAAACCAAATTTTTACAAATAAATGAAAGAAGCTACTTCATTTACAGAAAGGAAAACACAATGCAACACGCCTATTTCTTCTTGCAATGACTAAAAAGTTTCAGAAATTAGAATTGACTCCCCAAGCAACCTAAACTAAATTTTGTACATTACACTTACATTGTGACTCATTCTGGAATTAAAAGAAATGAAGATGTCTAACAATATTTAAAATTCAGTTGCTATCTAAATTAAGATAACTAGAATTCTAAAACTTACTGTTTTTGTTCAGATCCCAGAAGGCACAGATGGGATGATGCACTTCCTATATTAACATAAGAATAAACATGAGCAGTTGTGTTTTAAATTACTTAAAAATTATCATTTAAACATCAAATGAATAAAAGTGCCAGGGGTTTCACAAAGAAATGGATCAGTAGTAGCCATAGTAATACAACTTGCAAATGTCAAGATAATCTAGGGGAATCTTCTCTCTTACAGAAACTCCGTGTGAAAATTAACTATAATCTCATGAGGAATCCTATTACCCATTTTTTTAGCAGGTTACCATATATGTACCATCAGTAAACATTGAGTCATTTATCATTCTTGGCATTTAGTGAAGTTATTTACAACCGAACTGTGCACTGTCCTCAGAATCTCCTTTATATCTTACATAATAAACAAACTGAAAACAGGGATTTGAGCAGATACTTGTACAATGGCATTTACGGCAGCATTATTCACACTAGCCAAAATGCAGATGCAACCTAAGAGTCTACTGATGGATGAATGGATAAACAATATCTGGTACATATGTACAATGTGATATTATCCCAACTTAAAAAAGGAAGGACATTCTGACCTATATTACAGCCTGGATAAATCTCAAAGACATTATGGTATGTGAGATAAACCAATTACAAAAGTTATAAAAAATACTATATAATTCCATTTACATGAGATACTTAGAGTAGTTAGAAGAACAGAAATGGAAAGCAGGAATATACCTCAAAATGTTGGTGAAAAAAATGGAATTAAAAGATTATACACATTTTTCCATGAGCTTTTAGAAGACCCCTTGCAGAACTCTGTTTTCAGGGGGCTCTTGGAAGGGAAGAATAGGGGTTGGTATTTAAATGGGAGCAGCTTCAATTGTGGAAGATGGAAAAGTTCTATAGCTGGATGATGCTGATGGTTGCACAACAATTTCAATATAATTAATACTACTTACCAGTACACTTAAAAGGATTAAAATTATACCTGTTATGTTAAGTATATTTCACCAAAATACAAAATAAAAATCCTCTTCTATAGATAAGAGATGAAAACAAAGGAGGTAAAAGGATAGAACAACAAGGTCTCAGGGTTCATGACCAGGGAGGGCCAGTTCGTAGATGACCTAACTCCAATCTTTAGCCCAGTTCAGTCTGCTCATTTCCTGCTGCCTTCCTGCCTGTCCATTAAAGGGCAGAATCATGCCCAGGACTCTCTGGAAAAGTGAGAAAAGCCTGTTCCTGGGCCAGCTGGGACAAAACCCTCTTCTACTTTTATCAAATAAACAGATGATAGCAAGGGTAATGAAGCAAGAAGCAAAGCAACACTTGCCAAGATTTTTAACAACAGCTAACCTCTTGAAAATAAATCCACCCTCCCCTGTTCTCCCCTTGGCTTTTCCAGTTACAGTTATCTTTGACTTTAAAAATGTAAACAACCAAAACCTCTCAGGGTGGAATGGTGTGCCTCATTGACTTGAAGTGCTGTCGAATGTTGTTCCTTAAGCACTGTAGTTCTTTTCTTTGTTTACACTCTTCTTCAGCTCTTTGGGTCCCAGATAAGAACAATCCCCCAGTTACTGCCATTAATGGGGACTGGGGAGTGATGCCTGGCTAGTTCTTCTCCCTTTCTGGAATACTGCCCTCACAAAAAGTGCCAGTTATTTATTTATTTTTATCATGTCTGAAATGATCTGCCTCTGTTCAATTGCTATTAGTAACAATTTCTTACCTGAGTTCTTGTATGTTTGATTTTAATTTGAACAGGATCCTTCAGATCCTGGATAGTAATGTTTCCAATACTGCATGCCATCACATAACTCACTAAGGTTTTTCTTTGGGGTCCTACATCCTTTTAAAGAACAAAAAAAAATTACATGTATTAGAAGTACACACTTTCATTTTACTTTGGGCCTCCAAAATAAACAAACAGTCAGCAATTTTTACACTTAAGATCTTCAATTCTAGAACATCCTGTTTATAACATCAAGTTGCTGGCTTTCCTGAAGGAGCTCTGCTATTTCCCTTATTATAATAAATACATTGAGGGAGAGTCACGAACCAATATTGTCAGGCAGTGTTCATAAAACTCCACTCTTGATTGAAAAGACTGATGTCAGCTAGCTAACATCCAAAACAATGCAAATTCATAAATAATATAAACCATAAAAACTGTGAAACAATCAAATCATTTCCCTGCTCTAGAAAGTAGATGAAGTTGTTTTCCTTCACAGAAGCATGAAGGAAATAGTGGGTGAAAATAAAAAGCAGTTCATCTTTCACATCCACGCCAACAGGTTGACAGGTTTACTGACTTACACCTAAAGGCAGTTTCACTGGACTAACGTCCCATCCAGAACCCGTACCTTCTTCTTAGGTCGCATACTTGCCAGCATCTGCAGATCCCACTGCATGATAAGGTTGTCAGGAAATCAACTTAATGGAACTGTGCTACAAAACAATTTGGATCATGAGGCTGTCTTGCCACAAGTTCATCTCTATTTTTACTTCCCCTTGTGTTTCTTGTCAAACCTCCTGAATTTCTCTCTGTAGCACAGTTTATAAATCAGTTGTAAAATAATTACGGGATTGCTTCAATTCCAAATAAATCCCAGCACTAGAATATAGGTTTTTAGTTTGTCTTTTTACTATTTTTGTAAAAAATTAGTGGCAGTCACTATCAGTAAAGTCAGCTATTAGCTGGTAATACCCAGCCTTTAATTAAAAATATACTCCTGGGTTGGTATTGTGGTGCAGTGTGTTAAGCCACCACCTGTGACTGAGGCATCCCTGTGAGCACCAGTTTGAGACTTGGCTGCTCCATTTCAAATCTAGCTCCCTGCCAGTGCATCTGGGAAGCAGTGGAAGATGACTGGCATGCTTGGGCCCCTGCCATCCATATAGGAGACTGGGATAAAGCCCCTGGCTCCTGCTTTGGCCTGGGCCAGCCCTTGCTGTTTCAACCATTTTGGGAGTGAATCAGCAGATAGAAAATTGATCTCTCTCTCTCTCTCTCTCTCTCATTCTCTCTCTCTCTCTCTCTCTCTCTCTATATATATATATATATATTATATACACACACACATACATACATATATAATATAAATATAAACATATAAAATAATATAAATAAATAAATCTTTTACAGAAAAAAGTACTCCTGGAGTGTTGTGGAGTGGTGAGTTAAGCTACCGTCTCTGACGCAGGCATCCCTTATGAGTGCCAGTTCGAGAACCAACTGCTCTACTTTGGATTCAATTCCCTGGGAAAGCAGAGGAGGATGGCTCAAGTGCTTGGGCTTCTGCCACCCATGTTGGAGATCTGAAAGGAGTTCCAGGATCCTGGCTTCAGCCTGTACCAACTCCGGCTGTTGAAGCCATTTGGGGAGTGAGCCAGGAAATGGAAGATCACTGTAATGCTGCCTTTCAAATACATAAATGAATATTTCTTAAGAATATACTCCTATTTTGCCTACTATGTTAGGGGAGTATCATAAAACCTGTAAAATTTTTTTACCCTGCTGTAAATTTACTTTAAAAACCTAAAATATGCTTCTTAATAACAATTTTGGAAGATGCCAAAGGAGAGGTGAAAATGGCATGGAGAAGATCCAACATAAAACAGTAGCACATTCTTAAGAGTTGTCTGAAACTCTTCCTACAGGCCAAACTCCTCTCTGAACTAACCTCTCTCTACCATTCACATTTTGTGATACTGTGTTTTTAAATATTTTTAATGGTCACATTGCTGTAAGTCTCAAATTATAGCGATTTTAACAAATGCAGTTGTAAGTGTTCACAGCTAAAAGCAATCCTTGAGGGTAAATTATTACCTGGCTTTTATGTAGAACATATAACTCACATTTATATAAAGTATAAAATTTGTATATAGCTTGTTCCTAAAACATTTGTTGATGACAATTTCTAACATCTGGAATTAATTACTGTCAACAGTTCCACAGTATGCCCTTTCCTTCCCTCTAACCTATTTGGCCATTTCTCTACACATGATGTATGAGGAGGACTACTTAGACACAATTCTTTCAGGCTTAAGACTTACTATCTTTTCTTACATAGGTTGCAGTATTTGATATACACTGATACCCTGAATTTAAGAAATAACTTTTGTTTTTAAAAAAAGAGTTCAGTGAAATTCTTCTAGATAGGGTTGCACTCATAAAGGCAAGTAGAGGTCACCAGTGTTTGCTGGCAGTGGACCTTCTAGGATCTAGAAATGGTGCCAATAAAAATGATAATATGTGCTCAGCACAATGCCACTCTAGTCTGCGGATGTGTGAAGGCCTAAGGTCACTCGAAATGCTAATGGAAAACTGATTAAAGCCAAGAATGCTGCTCTTTATGTAAACAGTGCTTCCTGCTAAATTAAAAAAAAATTCTTCCTTTAGAGTACAACTTCTTTAAAGATCAAAATGACTGGACAGAATAAAATATTAAAAGAAGGAATAATAATGATTTCTACTTCAATTTTGATTTGTATCATGCAAGTTTCAGCCCATTATTTGACTTATTTCAAAAACTCAATTAAACATAACCTGTTAACACCATATTACTATATTAAGTATTTAAGGGATTATATGTAAAGTTTTCATTTTTGAAAATACAGTAGGTCAACTGTTTTATACTCCCAACTATATTTCAAAGGAATCTGAACTTTCATTTTTATATTTGCACAAGGTAATTTCATTGGAAATTAAAAAATAACATTTTGGTACACACCTACCTGGAAAAGTCCAGTTTTGTTGAAGAAAGTAAACTGTGCCCTTCTAACTAATATGGAATCTTCTTGACTTAAATTTTCGAGTAAGTTTGGAGGCAAAATGACAGAAGCCAATGGATCCACTTGTCCACTCTCAAAATCCATCTGTCACACATATACAGATATATTGATGGAATCATCTCAAGGAAATTTATGATAAGTTTATTCCACATGTAAGTCAAGAGGACAATTGCATGTATCAAGTTACCAAGGATCAGGGTTCCCCTTGACCTCTTATCAGTCCCTGCAGCTCCTGCATAGATCCCCTTAACAGACAGAGCCAGAGACTCACATTCAGTGACTGAATATGTAGCAAAAGAGAAAATGCACTGATTTTAACTAAGGCAAACTGAAAAACTTACACATTGGACAACATTTTCAAGTATAAAAATTAGATTTAGCATCATCAGATTTTGAGGTTTTCACAAAACAGTGAAAGACAGTAACTAAGAGAGAGAGACGGGGCGGGGTGAGGGGAGAAGGGAGGGAAGGGAGGGAAGGAGGGAAAAAGAGAGAGAAAAGTTAATTAAGTCAGTTTGATTGCAGAGACTGAGCTATCTCTGTAAAGAGGCAATAGTTGAGGTTTACACACATTCTTGGGTATTATTTTTCTGGAAAACATAGCTTAGGCTAAAGAGTGTTTTCTTGCACTCTTGGAATAGACTGAAGCTGACCAAATTTTCACTCTTAAAATGTGAAAGAGAAGTAGCCTAAAGAACCCCTAGTTTAAAGGAGAAAATAATCTTACCTATATCCTCATTCCTGAATGGTAATACATTCAGTCTGGTCTATCTCCCAGCTAAAGAAGTACTACACCCCACATACATTCTTTCCCTGATCAAGGACGATGCTTCCCTCATTTTCCTGTCCTGGTGGTTGGCATTGTCTGGCATATAACAGGAACCCGAAGGGCATTTTACCAGCTCTAGAGGGTCTCTGTTAATCTGGCCCCAGCTTGCTGTCTAACTTCGTTGTTACCTCCATGCTGACGGCTCCCAAACCTGGGGTTTTCAAAATGTGCTCCTCACATCAGTGGACTCAGCAATACCTAAGAACTTGCTAAAAGTGCAAATCTTCACCCAGAATCTATTAATTTAGAAACACTGAAGGGAGGACCCAGTGGTCTGTTTTAATAAGTCCTCTTAGATATTCTGCTACTCAGTTTGAGAACTGTTGGCAAAGAGAATGTGCCATGCATCTTCTTACCTTTGGACCCTTAGTTTGGCTCCCTCTCTGGTTGAACAGATCCTAACCCCCACTCCCAATATGTCAGCCCTTCCTCACGCTTTAATACTCATACTTAGGTCCAGCATCACCTTCTGTAGGGGGTGAGCTGATCGTCCCCATCATTTAGGTTTTGAAATTACACCTCCTCTTTGCTTCCATAATATCTTATGTCTATTCCTATAGTTAAAATTTTATCAGTACTTGGACCTACTCTCCACATCCCAGATCCATATTTCGTTGAAGGAGCTAATGTAAGTGATCAGCAAGTTTTTATTTGTCTAATTAGTCAGTAAAAATGAAAGAAACCACAGGTTCATTACCTGGAAATATGATTCATTATTGCTTGGAAGCCCAATGCTAAAATTTGAAATTACATTTGTCCCTGGGGATACGGATGATACTCCAAGAGCCAGGTTCCGCGTTGCGATGTTCACATGTGGCGTGCTGTTTAAGTCTATCTTGAAGGCCAACTCATCTATTGTTTTTAAAGCTCTAAATAAGTAACAGTAATACCTCTGATAAGTAATACAATACTTTAGATACTTGAACATACATGTTTTGCTGCATTGTAAAATACAAACCAAATAAAATTGTCTTTGAATTTTCTGATGTTAACCTAACTATGCACAAATTAGCCCAAACCACAATAACATCAGTTAAAACATAAATTCACAGTGATATCTATATCCAGAAGACATCTCTGCTTTAAGGAAAATCAATAACTAAATCATTCTGAATAAATATTGCTTTTCATTAATCTCGGCATCTCTTTCCTCAAGTGAAAAATATCTTTCCTACCCAAATGATTAGTGGAAATCAAAGGAAATAATGTGTTAAAATGTTTTCCAAACTGCAAGACACTATAAGAATCTATAATTATTTATATTATGTAGATAAAATAACTTAGAAAATACATTTTAATGAATATAAAAATTTTATACAAAAATGTAGTTGAAAGAGAATAGGAAAAAATCTTAACATATTAAATGAAATAATTGGATATGCACAAAATTATATAAAAATATGTATACTTTCATCTGCCCAGGCATTTTAATTTCAAAAGTACAGCAATCACATAGTGGTGGCAGTCTCTATCACAATTCATAGCATTATGGGCTTACTGTAACCAAGTTATACATAAGCCTGGATAGCTAAGCTTTTAGAATTTTTCGAATGAAAAATGAAATACTGATTATGCTCTTTGAGGGCCACTTATATATCTTGCCAGATGATAACTCTAGACATTTTCTAAATTAGATTTCATAAAAAATACAGAAATTTGTTTTTTGACCTTGGAGACTATCACTGAACCTTTTGGAATTAAGAATTATGAAGTCTTTCCATAGAGCATTCAGATAGTGAGAAATCATACCATTACACATTTCTCCAATAATCTGACTCTCCAGAAAAGCAACAACAAAATACTTACTCAGAAGAAGACTCAAGCAAGTCACTGTCTGAATTGCTTAAGATATTAGAAAATATATTCATTAGAGTTGAGCCAAGTGTTACATCAATGTTTTCTTCTTTGTTCACAATTCTTTTGACCTGTTCCACAATGCTAGTGATATTGGCTGAGGTTAAGTTCTGTCCATCAGCAGTTAAATTTAAAATCTCACTGGCAACTTCATTTGCTTCCCCTATAAAAAGACAAAAGAAACAACACATAAAATTTGACCTGTATATTTTGAGTACTTCCAGGAATCCAAAGCATAGTGTGACTTTTCACACTATAGTTGATGTGGAAAAGTGAAATTCCAGTGTATATCCCCCTATCACCATCTTCATAGGACAATAACTTTTCTTTATATTTGGAGACTAGCTTCTCTCTTTAGTAAGATACAAACAACTTGGAGAGACCAATGCTTATATATGTTCCAAGAGAAATGCCCCTATAATCACCAAATAAGTGCATATTTATTGTTTAAAAATAATATAAAACTACAAAAGTTTGATATAAATAGCAACTTATACATTATTTTCAGTTTTTCTCTAGAATTACATTACAGTTTTTAATCTCCTACAGAATGAATAGGACAGAAAAGTTAGATTGCAGAAAAAGAATCTTCTACCTTAAGTCAGTGAAACAATCACTTGCCTGACTTTTAATATTAAATAGGATCACATAGCAGAAAAACGTGTCTAAAGAGGAAAAACAATCATGAAGAATGAAGTAATTTCATTTTGTCACTGAGAATTGAAGAAAAACTGCTTACTTGAACAGTTGGAGATATCAAGAGGCCCCCAGTAAGCCAAAGATGTGTTGGAAGAGCTGGGATAGCTATGAAACAACAACAACAAAAAGATATTTCAAACATTTTGCATGAGTTTAAAACTGTCAGAATTAGTTAATAAGTTTTAGAATTTACCCTGACACCTAGGTAAGTTTCATGTGAAAATATAACTGTAATACATTGAAGTGAAACTTCCACTAAAAATTCACAGTAACACATACCAAAGAAACAAACCACTAATAATATCTGGTGTCCGAACCTATATATGTTGGTCAAGTTCTCCTTAAGAGCTTTACAGGTAAAACCTGATTTTTATTTCACATGACTGGAAAATAGATTATAATTCACATTTTATAGGTGAGGAAATGGACTTACATAAGTCAGGGAATTTCCCAAGTCTTTAGCTAGGAAGAGACAGGGCCACATTTCAAACTCAAGTCCATAAATCCTGAAAGCACTCTCTTCTCCTTAGGACATGTCAAACACAGGAGTAGATGCCAAGTATTTACACCTGGGTAGCAGCCCGCTTCTGAATTCCTCCAAGAAAATTTAACTGGGAGTAGGATGGAGGGTAAGAAGGAAACTTGACTTGCCATTTAGCAAGTCCCTACTTATCTTATCTCCATGAAACAGTGAAAAACCTATATATTGACAGTGTCCATCAGAAGACTCCTGCAACCTAGATGCTGCCTTATTACTTGTTTCCCATTTCTCCCTTCTCCAGATACAAAGTCTGGAATTTGAGCCGCATGTTCCAAGCTTGCAAACTTGCAGGTTTCATCTGTGTGCATGGTGCTACAAACTGGGACCACCCTTTGGTTTACAAATTCCTCTAGCTTTTTGGGGGAAGGATTCCTCGACATGTTGCTGGAAGAAAAATACTGCCTTTTGGGTAACCTACTTTATTTTCAACCCACAGGAAGCATATGGGTTAGGCACACACAGATATCCTGACCTTTCTTCCCAATCAATTTAAAGCATGAGAACTACGATGTAGTACCTATAACCCTGGGATGGTAGAAGGGGAGCTTTGGATGCGAGTCAATAACAGAATTACCATATCCGTGATACAGAAAAGCCAGGCTTATCTGGACAGGAAAGGCTATACTCAGAAGGTGCAATGGATGGCCAGTGAAAGCCTTTGGGTTCCTCTAGGGCAGCGCACACACCTATGAGAAAATAAGGGCGAACATGAGAAACACTCATCTATTACTTGAAGTTAGGTAAAAGCAAAAATAATGATACTTGTAATTTGGTATTTATTTCATGTAATATTAATATTAAATTAATATTTACAATTATTGAATTTTATATTAAATTATTAAATTAATATTTAAATATTCATGTTTAAAAATGGATAAAAATTCAGAAATTGGGAAATGTAAACATGTAATACATTTCAGAAACAAAAATCATTACATCTTGAAAAACCACCAAATAAAAAATACACACTCGTGTATGTATAAATGTGATACATTATCATTGTAATGTAAATCATTAGCAGAGAATAAAATAAATTGTAGTCAAAAATAAACAATACAGAAAATGAAAACAAACCTGAAAAATTCAATATATAATTTAGTCTTTTAAAAAGGGACAGTCTACAGATTAGTGTATCAATAAGGTCGCTGCTGAGTTGCAAGCATATTTCATGGAGAATTTTCCAGCTGCTGATAACATCCACTGCCTGGAAGCAAGAAGGCACATGTAGGCCAGCTCCACACACTGATCTTCACTTTTGCCTTCTCAAATCATTCCAAATTTTGTTTGAAAATTCTTTAAGTGATGACTTAAATGATTCACATTTACATTTCATAAAATATCCAAATAGCATCAACATATAAATAGCAACAATAGAATTATATATTTCAAATACTGAAAAACAAGTTACACGGGTCTGCTGGAAGTGACCAACATAGTCAGCATCTGAAAACTCAAGTGTGTTATCATGTTGATAGCGTGGACTTTAAAACTGTCATATTTTAGCCTTTGGGCTAAAATTTTTCCACCTGCTAGAAAATGTCATCCATGTATCCACTTGTAGGAAAACAGTAAAATGTGCAGTGTAAGTTACGAGGCCTAACTAAATGTTCAGGTGTGCATAGGGAGTCATCCTGGGATTCTCTAGCCTCTTAGGACAGATGGGACTGGTCTTGCCAGGGTTCCAGTCTTAGGTAAACTCCCACTTTTCCGCTCCTCCTTGGTAGAGATTCCATGTATAAAAAGGCAGCAAGTTGTACCCTTCCTCCCCAGGAAGCCCTATTTGTTAGGTAGCAAATATTTTCCCGCAGAGGCTCAGAAACTGTTTTTAATATTATGGCTATCACTATTATTCTCTGCATCCATCCAGCTCTGTGAGGCTCTGTAATTGCGTATGTTGTCACAGGAGAGATGGGTGGTTGCTCACAGAAGCGGAGATGTCAGATTCTTCACTGCACCATGTTTCTGGCGTCAGTGGTCATCGCCTTCTTAGCGGCTTCCTCACGTTGCTTCCCCTACTGCAGCCTCATAATGTATATAGTGTTAGAGTGTCGACACTCTCTCTTGATTGCTACTAGAATGCTTGAGATTGTTTGGATAACAGTTTGAGTGTCTCCCAAAGGTTCACGTATTGGGAGAGGAACTTGGTTCCCAAAGCACAATTAATGGATTAAGGCTGGAGGCTTAATCTATTATGATGTGTAGGAGGAAGGCCTAGTGGGAGGTCATTGGGCCATACTCTTGGAAGGCTGTTCTCAGGAGAAGGTTGGTTATAGAAGCTGAGCTGGGCCTACCTACCCTCTCTGTGCTTTCTAGCTAGCCTAGTAGTGGTCATTCCTCTACACAGATGAATAAGCTGCTAAGAATAAACTTTATCTCTACATGACAAAATACTTCTTTCAGAAGTAACTTGTCTCAGGCATTTTAGAGTTACAAAATGGTATAGTACTGAATTCTAATATATTATCATACTTTAGTAATATTAGAACAGTTACTTTTTTATTGATTCTGTATTTTTGCTTTTCTAAAATTTTAGTTATTTGTTTGGAAGGCAGAGTAACAGAGAGAGAAATGGAGAGAAACAGAAAGTGAGAGATTTTTCAACTTCTGGTTCACCCCCAAACACCACAACAGTTAGTACTGTGCCAGGCTGAAACCAGGAGCCAAGAACTCTATTCAGGTCTCACAAATAGGAGCTCAAGTAGTTCAGCCACCATTTGTTGCCTGCTTTATTACTTTGATTCCATTGGTATAGACCTGATTTTTTTTTTTTTTTTTTTGCTATGTCATCCCTTTTCTTTTTTTTTTTTCTTAAAAAGATTCATTTATTTGAAGGTCAGATTTACAGAGAGAAAGGGAAAAACAGAGAGAGAGATAATAAACCAGTCACTGGTTCACTCTCCAAATGTCCTTCAATGGCCAGTGCTAAGCCAGGCAGAAGCCAGGAGCCAGGAGTTTCACCCAAGGCTCCCACATGAGTAGCAGGAGCCCAAACAGTTGTGCCACCTTCTGCTGCTTTTCCTAGGCCATTAGCACGGAGCTGGTCCAGAAGTGGAGTAGCCATGATATGAACCAATGCCTATGTGGGATTCTGGGGTTGCAGGTGGTGGCTTTACACACTATGCCACAACACCGGCCTCTATGTCATCAGTTTTCTACAATGTCACCAATACGGTGAATTTCATCGTCAGAAAAAATATTTTTACATAAACAAGAAGCAAAGTTATTTCTTTTGTTTAATTATAACTGACTCTAGACATAGAAAATGTGTATTATAAAAGAATGGAAGTCACCTACCCAGTTGTCTCACGTTCACTGTATACAGCTTCAAGCCCTCATCCAGAGACTCGTTATTTTTTAAGAGCTTCTGCTGAATGGTTTTTCCTTCTAAACTGGCATTGTTGGTAGCGTTGTAAACTAGAAGGGCCCAAATCACCATCCTAGGAAAACATTTCAAACAGAATTGTTGTTGAGATTGTGGTTTGGCTGGTTGCCTTTGCTGAGAAAAACAGAACACTTGTATGTGGAAGGTTCACCAGGAAGTGCAGACACTGCAAAGGCTGCTCAAGGTGCTCGCCGACTTTCCTGTTGCATAAATTATAATATAAAAATATTTCAGTAAGGATAGATTCTATAGAATATTACATGTGCAATTCTATTGTAGTGCCCTATTTCTTTTCAGAAGTGTTTACATGTTTAATACCAATATTGTTTAATATTTTATCATGTATTGATATTTTATAACACACACACAAAAACAGTACCATAGTTTTGGTATATTCTATGTTATTTCTTAATGATCAAAAATAAAGTTTCTGAAGAAAGATTAGAAATTCAATGGATTATTTTACTTTTGAAATTATTAAAAGCACTGTTGTTCACAAATGTTGTATGATTTCTTCAGGAGAGTGACAAATGATTTTTCCATTTTCATGAACCATTTTCAAGTACTATGTTAAGTAATCAAAATATTCTCCGTGATTGGTTGGCACAATGATGAAGAACATGATAGAATGTCTGACCTTGAAGATCTTAAAAAGAAAAAACATCTCTTTGGGAAGCAAAGGGATATATCCTGGAAGCCCTGTCAAAACTTTCAATTTTACAATTTAAGGTCATATAATATTCTGTTCACTTGCAGTCACAGCTATAATAATGAGTAGAAGTCAGAAGACTGATTTCAACAAAAAAGTAAAATTAAATGACATCATTTTGTCATGTAGAAAATTTTTCCTCTTATATATGAAAGCTTTGAGTTTGCAAACAAAACTTTCATCTTTGTATTATGAGGAGAAATAAATAATGTGACATAACAAAGGGCATTATATTCTCAAGATCAGTGATGTTTTATATACAAAGACAAAGTAGTAGCATTTGTTTATTTTTTACAAACCCACAGAGTGGAGAGGTATTAGCATATTTATGAAATTTTGTGAATGTGAATAAAAATTAGAGTACTAATATATTTCTGTGCTAAAACAATAAGAAAGAAAAAGTGAATACTTTCTATTCAAGGTTAGGTGAAATTATAGAATAGCTCCATTTTTCGCACCTCAATATCTGTGCTAATCTCAAACAGAATATGCTCTAATGTTCTAATTCTCTCTGAAAACTAGTTTTCTTTACAATGATCTACTACTTAATGTTCATATACAAGCCATATTTCAGGATGACACAGATGTGTGAATATAACGTGAACTTTGGTATCTTACTAATTTTTAAAAAGGCCTATGAAGAAGTATCTCCAGATTTAATGACTTCCGGAAGATAGGCTTTGCCACTCGAGTTACTGAGAACTTGGGAATATGACCTTTGTATTTATTCACTTGAATATTGAGAACATAAATCAGCACAATGTACCATGGATGGTATTGAATACCGGAATTCACCAGCTCAAGAGTAACTATGCATTTTCATAGGTCTTATCTGTGTTGTTTTCCTCTCCCATCCTGAAAACTAAAGCTATTTTATGGTTCTACAAAGTCTAATTCTATCTGTTGTCACCATCAGCCATTCTTTATTTGAATAGACCAGTCTCTGTGGTTTTGGTTTCCTGTCTGTCTAGGTGATAGAGTATGATAGTGTTATCTGAAGCTACAGTGATACATTTGAATCGGCAGGAAAAGTTTAGAAAAAAAAAAATGTGTGTAAAACTAGTAGACTGTGGTTTGAGAAAAGCTGTGAGAATATAAAGGCTCATCAATGGCACAAGAGTAGTAGAGAAGGGAAGGGCAAGGCAATAAAAATGACAATAATGCCAAAAGTTCATACCAAAGAAAAACTAAAGTGTGCATTTTCCCCACATACGCAGTCTTAGTTCATTCTCTGTATAATTATCTATGAAATAATTTACTAGTTTCACAGACTAGCAAATTGAGATTCCATACATTTAAACATCTTTCAAGCAAGGGTTTCCGAGTTGCTAACATGTATTAATGATGGCTGACTTCAACATTACAAGGTTGGAGAAGATCCACAGGGAGTAAAAGTGAATGCTGACTTCCACTGGTGATACCCATTCTATGGTTGTCTCAACTGTTGGACAAAGTGCCCAGTAAAGGACCCAGATTGCTGCTGTATCCAGTATGGAAGGCTCAGTGTGATCTAGCAGTAAGGGTTAGAAAAGAAACCGTTCAACCGAGTGGAAGAGAGAAGCCCTGTTACCTTCAAGAATAAAGTATTGAAATGTATAAGGGTGCTTCAAAAAGTAATTAAAAGGTATTTATTTTAATGCAAAATTTTAAATCAATATAACTTTTTCATACTATATATTTTTCCATGAACATTTTGAAAACCCACATAGGCATGAATTTCAAAATCTTTTTTGCATTAAAATGTACTTTTGAATTTTTTAAATTCCATTTCCTGCAAAATTTTTGAAGTACCCTTATATTGCTGTTTTCAGATCATAAAGGAAGAGAAATAACATAAAATCAAAACAATTTTCCCTATCAGATGGATCAGTCCAGTTTGTTGAACACAGAGAAATGGTAAGTTCCAATATAATTTTTAAAAACATTTGTTCTTCCAATGTTAAATAAAAAAGAAGAAAAAGTAATAAGAAAGCTCTCTAGCCAATTCCCATTTGAAATCTTATTTTTATCTTCTTGTAGTAATAATAAATTGTCTGAAAAGAAGCACACTTTATCATCATGCTTGCACAGCCAAAACATCAATTCAGTCAACAGAAACTCAGCAAGACTTACATGACCTTTGCTTTTCAAATGATTTTAACAAAATCTTTGGAGATGCAATCAACTATGTAATATTGTTCCATTGAGGAGGATAGATTGTTGTTTTTCATTTTGCACCACTCTTAACAGCTGGTTCTTATATACCAACTGTTTATATATGCTGGACATATTCACTAATTTACCTTCATGGTTAAGTCATAATCCTGACAAATTTAAAAATGAATGCCTTAGAAAAGTAGCTGATGGCTTTAAATGCTGAAATCACTTTTGTGCCTATAATCTATATTATTAGATATTAAATATTAGATATTATTAGATATTACCAAATAAAAGCACTTTATTTAAAATAAAGCCACTTTCCTTGAAATCTCTTTGAAATTTCAAATAACAGATCATGATAAATACAAAAAAATGAAAATGTTAAAAACAATTTATACATTTTAAATGTTCTACTTCTGAATTAGATTTCATTAGATGGAGATTTCTATTCAACCTCTTACATTACTATTTGCAAGGAGGAAATGCATGTATTAGTGCTAAAGAAATAACTTAAATATGCTATGTGAATAAAGATTTTCTATCTCATTGCTTGTTTATCTGCCATTCAAGGAAGTGTGCAAGACAAAGAATGGGACACTTTCTGTAAGACTCCTGCAGGGTTACCTTTGATCATTCACAATGCTTCTCTTGACTTTAATGTTGTCTTCTCCCATGCTCTGGTGAAAACTACAAATATAAATATACATATTCATTACATATCTTATTTAGCAACTTCATCCCTCATCATCAACAATAAAACCTGCTAAGGTGAAAGTGGAATGGATATTCTAGATCACCATCTCCAAATGTGTGTGCTGGGAGTCTTGTTTCTTTCACAAAGCTGGGCACCTTTGGGCTCTTGCTCTGCTCAAGGATTGACGACGAATAATAGCAGACTGAAGAACTGAGAAGTTCTGATAGAGCAACCTGCAGTTTTCATTGAACAACATACTTCCTGCACTTATTTACAACTTGATCTCTCTACTCAGTTATCACATGTTTCGGGGTAACAGAATATATGCTTAGGGGTCGTGAAATACATTTTAGAAAACTGGCTTGAGCATAAAATTATAAAACAAAGAACAGAGGAAGGTATGTGCATGATACTATTTGCTGAGGGGTTAGTGATGTATTTAAAGAGAAATGCGGGAAGAGAACTTTTGAAAAGCCGTTGCAATCAGAGCACAGGTGCCTTATTTATTACGTCAGTGGTAGGAATGTAACTACATGAGCCATCACAGCCCCTTCCCAGAGTGTACATAACTGGAAGTAGGAACTGGGAACGCAGTATGCAAACCAGGCACTCTGATATGTGATCCCGAGTGCCCCAGGCAGTTTCTTAACTGCTGCACTAAATACCTGCCCCATGCTAAAATTTTAAACAATGACTAGAATTCATGATGAGAAAAGTTTGAAACCATTTCTGTAGCATTGAAGCATTGGTTGAAAGAAGCAATATAATTTTGAGTTGCTTTACAAAGATTATGAATACAGTATGTGTGTGTATGTGAGAATGTGTACAATGGTACAATTGGGGAAAGGGTAGAATTAAATCAGATACTACTTTTTATTTCTCAAATAATTTATTCTGTCATTTACCTGATATTAATTACATAAACAGTGTAGTTCCAATTCTGGAAAGTTGAATTGAGCTGAAAAACACAATGGAAAAGCCTGAGTTTTTGTAATATTTGTTTTTTAAAAATTGAATCAGGTTTTTCCCCCTCTCCCAAAATAAGCTGTTAGTGGGATAGGACTCCAGGAAAATCCTGAAGATCTGGGTGAGCCAAACATAAATGCGATATTTACATGATCATTGTACACCAGACCTGACAAACGTTCTTTCTCTCATTCCTCACCATGATCAGAGATAGGCCATATCCCCCTTCCCTTGCCTTGTACATGAAGAAAATAAGGAGAAATAGCTTCCTCCAGGTCACGCAACAAAGAAGTAACAGATTCAGACCAGAACTGAAGTCTATCATTTCCTCTCTAGCCCTTAATACCATGAGACTAGCACAATAAATAGGTTCCTTGTTCTTCATTTGATAAACATTGAGATGTACTGAGACATGTCTTCTAGTAATTAACATAATCTAACAATATTAGGAATATGGAAAAATTAACAACATGAACTTTTAAAAAGCAAGTGAAGACTAAGTGCAACATTACTGGATGACAGTAATTTGTGTTTAGTCTTTACAGGCTCTTTGGGGCTCAGCATCAGACTCTTGGGGAGGCAATGGATTTTTCTCGGTATAAACAGCAATCTTCCAGGATGCAGGTGAGAAGCAGAAGGTCTCCACTTACGTAAGATCCTGCTATCTATGCATCACCTCCAAAAGTTTCTTTAGATCTTATTTCATATGCACATGTAGCCTTCCTTGTAATCAATTCTGAAATTCAGTGTAAATTTTAGAAAATGTTGACAAAACGTGTGAAATTATTTTTAATTATAAATTGCAATACAGTGAATATTCCTTATGCACAATGCTTTGGGGATAGAACTGATTCAGATTTTATTTTTTTCTTGAATTTTGGAATAGACTTCATGAGTTCAACACCTCTAATCTGAAAATCCAGTCATCCAAATATTCCAAATTCTAAAACTTTAGGAGCACTGCATTTAAAAAAAAAACTTGCAGATCTTGTGGGATGCTCAATCTGTTTTATGAAGCAGGGAAACCACTTATATGTTCTCCATGACCAAATAAGTATCTACTTCAGTAACTTGCATATTAAATGAAAACTTCTTGTAAAGCCTAGCTTTAGTAAGAATGATGTTATGCTGAAACTGTCTGAAGCAAGCACCAATGTAAAACTACACTTTGGCCAGCACAAACTTTCTGGTGAATGCTAATTTTCAGAATTAATGATATTACCAGAGTATTTGTTTGAAAATGAAAATAAAGAACTGTCAAAAGAAATTTACTTCTGAAATCATTCTGATTTTAAACAAAAGGAATAATGCTAGAGAGAAAAAGGGGATGCAAAATTGAACACCTCTGCTAGTATTTGAGTCAGCTGTTACTGTATCATTCCAAAAAGAAAACAACTGCATTTATTTTGACTTCTATTACAGAATTTCATTTTCCTCTCCAGTTTTGTAGCACAGCTGTTAATTACACACTTTTGTTTCTGGATATTGCTTTTAAAAACAAGACTATGTTTTCCAGTGAGTTATTCTTCATACGTGTACACACAAATAAGAAAAGTCACCTTTCCCGCTTCAGAATGTCTACTTTTATTCACAATGACTTTTTTCACAAAAATACTAATCTTTGAACTATAACAGAATTCTACATAAAAATAACTACAAAGCCTTGCAGTGTACTCTAGGTGGGAAGTGAAAATTTTGAAATTGGTGTAGAGCAAATAAAAAGGAAAAAATTATCAGTTTTATTTATAAAGAAAAGAAAAAAAATTAGATTTTCTAAAATCAGAAACTACCAAATTGTTTTCTAATAGAATAATGCTAAATAAAGTATAACCTAATGTCCCTCAACAGAAGACCTAGTCAGTCAAATAATAAAATAGTACACTGTGTGTTTCTGTCCTTTTTTTTAAAAGATGAAGTCCCTGTATTAATGTTATAAAATCTGGCAACAAGAAAAATATGGTGGAGAATGGTGAGTAAAAAACACTACTTCTAGCATAAAAAGGAATGAAATAAGAATTTATAGTCATATTTTCCTTTATATAGATAAAAATCCAGAAAAACCACATTAACAGTGATTTCCAAGCAGATGGGTTGGTCTCCCAACAGATGACTGACAAAGATGGGAGGATTTGTCTTTTTATACTCTGACTTTGATCCAACATTCAAACAAAAAGAATAAGAAATGTATTTTGAAAAACATAGGTGGCACTGTGTGGATCTACTAGTAGATAAGGATACCTATCAAAATCTATTTCCATTTGTGTGGTACCTTTCTTATTTAAGATACTGATAGTCTCTTAGGCTGCTTAATACCCTTTATTCAAATACAACTCTCTTTCTTTGTAAAAGTACATCCAATCTCATGTGTCTATTCCTATATTTATAATGAACAGCATCCATGTTTCAGGATGACCCACAGATTCAGTTACCCAGAGTATTTTCTAGATTTTAAGAACTTGAAGATTTACAACAAAATATAAATTTTACCAATTCAACTTACCCATTCTGCAACCTTGCTCTGTACTTTTACCTCAGGGTGATGAAGGCTGTTTTGAATCACTATCGATATTCTATACATAATTCCATCTGCCCATTGGAAACAAGATTAGTTCATTAATTATATTTGACAGTAATTTTAAACCATTTAAATATACAGTCATATCATTCCACAAAAATTATAAGAAATGCTTTCTACAGAGCACAGAAAATTTCTGAGCTACTTTTCATGTTAAGCTTACTGATCTGACTTAGAGATAGTTACAAACTAACTATTCCTACACAGAATGTATTATTCCTAAATTATCAACTACATGTTTCATCATACTCTATAAATTCTATAGGTAGTTGATCTCTACAATTTGCAAAATGATGATTTTAATGATAGTTTGATTTTTTATATGAAATTATACTTTTTGCACATTATAAAGATTGATAATGAGGTTGGGGGTATGAAAACTTAGTGAGATTATGGGCAGACATTAACTTGGGAAAGAACAGGCTCATGTACTGACTGCCCATAAACCCTCCTTCTCACTTTTTCTTCTCCTCCAATATGACATCTACTATACTACTGGATTTTACCTGATTTCTGACCAAATTTTTTTAAAAATGGCCATTAATAACAAAGTAGAAAGAAAAAAGAAAGAATATTGGCAGGAAGAATTTTAAGAGGACTAACTTACATAACAGGAAAACCTTATTGTTTAAAAGGCTCTGTTTCTTTCATTTTGGGGCAATCTTTAAAGTAGCCCTTTTTTCTTTTTTCTTTTTTGCATGAAAATCAAAACTCAATATTAATGGTTTGCTAAATCTATCTAGATGTGTTCTACAGGTTATTTTACTTAAAGTAACTAATCAGAAAAAAATACCCATTTGAAATATGATAGGTTGTAGAAAAAGAAAAACTTTTGATTTTCATTATTGTTAATCATATTTCTTCACCATTATGTTATCTTAAGTAAAAATGCCCAGAAAATAAAGAAATATAGAAATATATAATTAAAATAATGTTGCAGAATACATTTAATGAAATCACAAAGAGGCAGTAGAAAGTTACAAAAGTATGTCTATATGAACCCCTGAATCTAGCAAAATGTAAATTCCAGTCCCACTGCATAAGGAATGTTTTTCCTGTAAAGTAGTCAGTTTCATGTCTAAATAACAGAATTGCCACCCCCCCACATGTATAATTGTATAATGTATAAACGTATAAAACTGCTGCAAGCCCAAGACATGTGACTTTTTAGTTATGCAAACTAGTTTATTTCAACTTCTAAAACTTTTCAGATATTTTAATGATGTTTATTTATGTTTATTTTATACTCCTTCAAAAATATTCTGAACAAAAAGTATTCAGAGGCACACATTAAACAAATGATAATTCAGACCAAAAAACTATTTATCTTGCAGATTTTATAATGTCAAATCATGAACTTTCTGAATGTTTGAAAGGAAATTCAAATCATAGATTTTCTGAATAATTGAGAGGAAATTCAAATTACAGAAGCCAAGAGTTGATACAGTTTTCAGGAGGATATTCTGGGAATATACATGGGGGTTAGTAGACAATCTGAGAACCCACCACTAGATGGAGACCTAAAGCACACTTTTGTGATATAAGTATGAATTGTTTAATCTCTGGAAAAATACTGCAAAGTACTAAAATAAGTATTTTTAATTACTGGCATTTCTTGAAATTTTATGGCAATACCAAAATATCGAAGAATTTTTAAATGTTAAATATTTCCAATCCATTTTTTCCAGTTCATTATTTTTATGAGAGACATCCAATAGCAGACATCTACATATAGTAGTAGTAGTCTTAGTAGTTACATTGCTTACAGCAAGTAAAATGTTAGTATCCCAACTTAGCATCTCATGCTACTGATTCTACTGTGCTATGACTAATTTTCAAGTAGTCTCTTTTCAGAATCCTGGGAATTATATAGTTTCTAAACAATCAAAAACTACTCAGTGTAACATACTTGTTATTTATAATTTTTGAATAGTGGAGTAAGCAAGTAATCATGAAAATGCTTACAAGTGAATCACTAGAGCAAGATAAAATGACCACCGAAGAGCTGATGAGAAGGGTTTGGAAGTTAGGAAAACAACTGGTTGAAACACTGCCCCCAGAGGAATGCTATTAAGACAACTTGATGCAGCCCGTTCCAGGACCTAACAACTCCAGGAGTATCTCAATGTAAAAGATATTCATGAATCTTCATGCCTTCTAGAAACTTCAAAATATGTATGTATTTTCCTAAGAATGATATCCAGGCTAGATGAATTAATGATACATATTTCTTGAAAAATAAGTATTTAAGAATATATCTATTAAAAAAACTACTTATTTATTTTATTTGAAAGGCAAAGTTACAGAGAGAGAGGGAGAACAGAAAGAGATCTTACATCTGCTGGTTCACTGCCCAAATGACTGCAACAGCCAGAGCTGGCTAGATCTAAGTCAGGAGCCAGGAGTTTCTTCTGGTCACCCATGGGGTGCAGGGGCCCAAGCACTTGGGCCATTTTCTGCTGCTTTCCTAGGTGAATTAGCAGGGAGCTGGATCAGAAGTGAAGCAGCAGCGAATTGATCTGGCACCCATATGGAACGCCAGTGCTGCAGGCAGCAGCTTCACCTGCTACAGCACAGTGCCAGTCCCTATAACTATTTTCTTAAGCCATCACTCTTGTAGCACTGTAGAATTCAAAGTAGAACTCACTGTCGGCCATTGCGAATGCAGTTTCAAAGCAGTATTCCTTTCTGTAAGCATCTCTCCAATTCAGCCTTCCTTTTTTCAGATTAACATTCTTCTCAGAGTTTCTTGGATAATACAGAAATGACACTATTTTATCTAGTGTATATTCAATGGTCTGACATACAAGTGTGAAATGACAGGTTTGAAAATACATGTTTGAACAGACAAATGTAAATATATGAACCCAATGCTATTTTCTATTTGAGATTATTTGTTTGAACTGGTGACAATGTAATTATCTAATATTAGGTGATTGTCATCCTGCAGATCCTGCATGTCCCAATTCTTCAAAATATCTGGCATATAAAGCTACACAGATAGTTGGAATCTACCAATATCCTCTGAGATTATTATTTACTCCTCATGTAGGATCTCTGTCCTTAATGTGCTGTACATTGAGACTTAATGCTATAATGAGTACTCAAACAGTATATTTCTCTTTGTGTTTCTATGGGGGTGCAAACTGTTGAAATCTTTACTTAATGTATACTAAACTGATCTTCTGTAAAAAAAAAAAAAGAAGAAATTATCAATTCCCAACTTGACTCTCACTGGGATTAAACATGACAATAGGTCTGATCTGATTTCATCATCATTTAAAAAATCATCTATTATTTTTACTTTATGTTTGTGTGGGAGCAAACTGTTGAAATCTTTACTTAATATATGCTAAACTGATCTTCTGTATATAAAGATAATCGAAAATGAATCCTCATGTGAATGGGAGAGGGAGTGGGAAAGGGGAGGGATGCGGGTGGGAGAGACGATATGGGGGGGAAGCCATTGTAATCCATAAGCCGTACTTTGGAAATTTATTTTCATTAAATAAAAGTTTAAAAAATGTAAAAAAAAAAGAAAATTAAAAAAAAAGAAAAAAAAAGATTTCATATGACAGCCAAAATAAATGGTTTGTTATCACTTCCCTTCACTAAAAAAAAAAAAAAAAAGCTAGCCATATGTGATAAAGTGGAGACAGCATTACAATTTATACTTGCATAAGCCAGATTTCAGAACAATAAGGACTAATGGAGTCAATGCCTTATTTGAGTTGCTCATGCCAACCTGATATAAGTTTATTATTCATTAGGTTTAGGGTAATGTTTCTAATGATTTGGAATCAAAATAATCATTGGTCCAAGAGCTTTTCTTGGGAATTTAATGGATAAGGCACAAAGGTTCATTATTTGTGAGAATGTTCAGGAATGTTCTCCTGAAATATTTGTTTGTGAAAAGTAGCTTGAAAGATATTTTTAGTATATAATCTAAGGTCTCAGATAGAAGTCCTACTGAAAATAACAAAAAGCACTTTACATAGAAAAACAGTAACATTTCACAAAAGCTAGGAAGACAAATTTTATTGACATATTAAGAAAATAGATTATCAAGCAATCTAAATTCCTCTCCTTTCGTTGTACTGGCATATTATTATTGATGAGCTCAGTAAATCTCTGCCAGCCCAGAGTTAAAAGGACTGGGTAAGGCAGATAACAGATGTGACAATTGTGCCTATCTTTGTTACAGTGAGTGAACAAAGTAAATACATATCAGATCATAACCCTGAGACTGTTTACAGTATCAGTTTCCCAAAGAATAAGAATTGTACATGGTATACATGAATAGTTTTAGATAATCTAGGACATGACATTAATTTGCATTTATTCCCCAAGTGAAAAAATAATTCTAAATTGCTTCAAATTTGATTACACCCAAGAAAAAAAATTCAGCTACTCTGCTTCTGGTCCAGCTTCCTGTCAATGTGTATCATGGCGGCAGCAGGTGGTGGCTCAAATACTTGGGTCCTTGCACGTGCGTGGGAGACCGAGACTAAGGTTTTAGCTCCCGACTGCAGTCTGCTCTAGCCCTGGCTGCTGCAGGCATTTGGGGAATAGACCAGAGGACAGAAGACCTCTCTCTCTCTTTCCTTCCTCTTTCCCTTTATTGCTCCCATCGCATCACCCTCCCTCTCTTTCTTTCTCCATTGTTCTCTCTCTTTCCTCTCACTCCTTCTGCATTTCAAATAAAATTAAAATAAAAGAAGTTCTTTTTAAGAAAAGATGTAAGGAAATATGAGAAGCCAGCAGGTATTATTATAAAATGCTGTTTACCTTATATTTATTTTCACTTTCATTTATATATTTAATGAGCAGTTATGCTTCTATTTTACAATAGCACATTAATTTCATAATGTAAATACAAAAATTTAAGTTAAAAAGTGAGTCAATTTAGTAAAAAATCTTAAATAGTATGGGTGATTCAGGAATATGGTAAAACAGAAAATTGAGTACACAATTTTGAGAATATTTCTACCATGTGATAAGTTTTTGATATTTATAAATACTCAGATTATTCTCTGAGCAAGAGTCATCTGAATCATATTTTTTCATTAATGTGGTTAAGATACACCATTTTAACTATCTAACATTTGCTTGCTTTGTTGAAACTCCACTGAAGGTTGTGATGCAGACAGAGATGGACTGAACAAGGCTTTCTTCAGGAATGTCAAAAATGACATGATTGAGTGAATGCAGTTCCACTCCACCAAGTCTCAGGCTCTGAAGCCTCCTCTAAATGTTCTTGAGCGGTAGAGGATGTGCCAGTTTTGAGGGAGAATGCTACAGAGGCTCTTTGTATGTGCATACAAAGAACGAAATACTTAGTTAGAATTATAATATTCCCATCTGTTGGCTGGAGTCCATGTGAAATATGCACTGGAAACTTCAGCTGCTCTTGCTTTCTTGGGGGTTGCTGGAATTTCTGCTCCATCATAAATCTCCTTGGTGTAACTACCAGAATAATCATAAACACTTTACTGAATCGATGTCTTTATAATCCTAATGAAATTTATATCTGTGTTTTATGTAAAATATTCCATACTTCCAAGTTAAATGTTCTTACAGAGGAAGTTGATGTAACCCCCAAAGCCAAAGAAAAAATGAGTTATGTGGGTTTCTTTTTTCTGGGTTTGGGACCTCTGGTGATATATTACAGATGTCTTGGCCTCACAAGCTAAATGATTGGGGTTTACAAAATTCCTTTGTTTCTAATATCTCATATTTGAGAATATTACTGTATTTGAGGCCACAGAATGGTCACCTGATTGGAATTTCTCTTTATTAGAACTGAAATCACAGAGGGCCGGTGCTATGGTGTAGCGGGTAAAGCCGCTGCCTGCAGTGCCAGCATCCCAGATAGGCACCGGTTCGAGTCCTGGCTGCTCCCCTTCTGATCCAGCTCTCTGCTATGGCCGGGGAAAGCACTAGAAGATAGGCTAAGTCCTTGGGCCCCTGCACCTGAGTGGGAGACCTGGAGAAGGCTCCTGGCTTTGGATCGGCAGCCAATTGGGGAGTGAACCAGAGGATGGAAAACCTACCTCTCTCTCTCTCTCTCTGTGTGTCTTTCTCTCTCTCTCTCTCTCTCTGCCTCTCCTTTTCTCTCTGTGTAACTCTGACTTTCAAATAAATAAATAAATAAATATTTAAAAAAAAGAACTGAAATCACTAAGACTGAATTACATGGTCCCTAAGTATATTAAGCTAAACAGTAACTCAATTTAGCTGGGTTTTCCTCCATTATTTTCTTTCTGCCATATTTGCAAATTACAAAGAAAATAAATAGAAAAGGATATATGAACAAAAAAGCAAGAAGTATTTGAAGTTACTTGAATTTATGTCATTCAAAATTTTTAGGACTTTCTTGACATCTAATCATATTCTAACTTTATTCAAAACAAAAATAGCAAAATATTTAACATAAAAATCTATTTAAATGTCACAAATGTGTGAATATAAAGCTGATTTCAGTGATCAAATTACTAAAATTTCTTAGCTTTTTGAAATTATAAGTTCCATTCAAAACTAGTTCCCTGAATAATCTGAGAAAGTATAATGGGAATAATAGGGCTTTTTTTCAGCTTGGAAGTCCACTATTGTGAAGATTAATTTCTTATATTAAATGTATTTGTTTTACAACTTCCTTTGAAAGAAACTTTATCTAAAAGTACACAAGAGGAGTCCTGGAAATCTACCCATTCCACTGATCCTCAGTATGGGAAACCCTAGATCAAGTGATTACTACTACTGCAAAGCTACAGATGTATCAACCTTCTCCAATAACAAAAACATTGTTGGAATAATATACATTTCCATCCTCAGAATATAATATTTTATTGGGTCAGACACACCACAAATATAAAAGGTAATTATTTCTTACCATTCTTTTGTTTATCGATTCTATTAGTAACAGGCATGTTAGTGGTGACAATGGGTGATGTAGTACTAGGAGAGCTTACAGTAGCTGGTAATAAAGATGAGAAAGATGTAATTTTGCAAGGAGCACAGGAAAGTTAATATGGATGAGCAATCTATATTTAATGCATGAAAATATATAGAGGAGGAATAAAAACCATTTTTTGCCACTAAATACAACAGACCCCAAGGTTATAATGCATAAAATCAAAGCAATGTCTTCTATGGCACATTAAGAATCAGTTCACATGACCTCTGGTGCCACGTGCCATTTTGCACAAGGATCTGGAACTTGCATAATGAGATTAAAGAAATGACACTTAGATTGTAGACCCAGGTCTGCCATTATGAGGTTGGCAGTTACACAGAAGTTACTAAATCTTTCTAGACCTGTTTCCTGAATTTGTAAATGGAAAACATTTTAGAGGGTAGTCTTTATATACTTATAGCATGCAAGTTACCAAAATTAAGTCAGTCTGCTTGATATCGTGACATTAGAGAAATAAAATTTCTTACCAAGAAGTATGTTTCCTTGTGAAGATAAAGTACACAAAATGAAAGAGAATGAAATATATAGACTAGATCAATCAATTAATGATTCTAATAACTTTACTAAACATTGATGGACAAAGAATACTTCCCAAGGGCAAGCCTTACAGGGGAGACATTTTCAAAGCCTATGCTATAGTCATGCCTCTGACACTATCAAAATCCTAAAAAGATTAAACCATTAGGCAGTGCGTCAACTATGGAAAAGCAAAGAAATAAAATAAGCTACATACATAATTTTACTATAGCTTATCAGATGATACATTTGTATTCAATGTGCATCCAAATGTACAATGTCCACATATATGTATTAAATATTAATTAAAAATTATCTAAATTTAAAACATTTAAGTGAGTATGCAGAGAATTGCCTTCTAAAGGCCCTTAATAAAACACTGTATTTCTTGAATCAAAATTGTACATTTGTAATTAAAATAATTTTCTACTCCAAAGTATACAATATTTAAGAATAGGAATGGGGGCCAGTGCCACGGCTCACTAGGCTAATCCTCCACTTTGTGATGCCGGCACACCGGGTTCTAGTCCCGGTTGGGACGCCGGAGTTCTGTCCCGGTTGCCCCTCTTCCAGGCCAGCTCTCTGCTGTGGCCAGGGAGTGCAGTGGAGGATGGCCCAAGTGCTTGGGCCCTGCACCCCATGGGAGACCAGGATAGGTACCTGGCTCCTGCCTTTGGATCAGCGCGGTGCGCCAGCCGCAGCGCGCTGGCCGCAGTGGCCATTGGAGGGTGAACCAACGGCAAAGGAATACCTTTCTCTCTGTCTCTCTCTCTTACTGTCCACTCTGCCTGTCAAAAAAAAAAAAAAATTTTAAAAAAAAAAGAATAGGAATGGGGCCGGTGCCATGGTGCACTAGGTTAATCCTCCACCTGTGGCGCCAGCATCCCATATGGGCGCCGGTTCTAGTCCCGGTTGCTCCTCTTCCAGTCCAGCTCTCTGCTGTGGCCTGGGAAAGCAGTGGAGGATGGCCCAAGTGTTTGGGCCCCTGCCCCCATGTGGGAGACCGGAAAGAAGCTCCGGGCTTCTGGCTTCGGACTGGCTTAGCTCCAGCCATTGCAGCCACTTGGGAAGTGAAACAACGGAAGGAAGACCTCTCTCTCTCTGTCTCTCCTTCTCACTCTCTGTAACTTTACCTCTTAAATAAATAAGTAAAATCTTTAAAAAAAAACAATAGGAATTCTTTTTGAAGAGTTTTTTATTATGAACAACCAGTTATATTCATCTTCATGAAAAATACATCATGAAAATGGCTTTTGGTCATTTAGCTTAGAAGAGAAAAAAATAGAAAAGGCTGGGGCTCTTGTTCTTTGAATCAAAGAATCAGTACCATAGACACCTCAGACTAAATGAAAAAACAGGAGCCGGCATTGTGGCAAAGCAGATTAGGCCCCTGCCTTTGGCACCAGCTTCCCATATGGGTTCAGGTTAGAGTCCCAGCTACCCCACTTCCAATCCAGCTCCCTGCTATGCACCTGCAAAAGCAGTGGAGGATGGCCCAAGTACTTGGGTCCCTGAAACCATGTAGGAGACAAGGAGGGAGCTTCTAGCTCCTGGCTTCAGATCTGTCCAGCTTTAGCCATTGAGGCCACTGGGGAGTGAACCAGAGGATAGAAGATCTATCTCTCTGTCTTCCCCTCTTTAATTCTGTCATTCAAGTAAAGAAATAAATCATTAAAAAATGAAAAAAGAAAACTAAAATTTTAAACCTGCCTATCTTGATCTAAATAAAATTAAGATTTTCTGTTTGTTTAATATAACTTTTAAAACTGTGCTGAGTTCACGGAAAGAAACTACTTAAAGACCTACTTTTTAGAGTATCGATTGATAATATCAAAGACACAACATCTCCAAAGGAAAACTGTAGATAATAATGAGCTATACTCCCTTCCCCTGTCTGTCCTATCCCCAACACTAGAATCACAGAAGAGATCTAATGTTCCTGCTCATTTATTCTCACTTCTCATCCTGTCACCCATGCACTATGATCCCTTTAACATGAGATCCAGTTTCTACATAAGGTATGGCCATGATTCTTAATGTGGTACATAGAATGTATTACTTCATATTTTACAGAGGAAAAATGAGTGAAAAAGGGTCATGAGTAATTAGGAGGGGCACAATAAAATTAAAGCAAAATATATTATTATTTTAAAACTCACTTTATGTATTACTTAGCATGCAAGTATCTAAAATACAATACATAATGGGAATATTGACACAGTATACTCATGAGCATCATAATAATTAACACTTACATTAACATTCACTTAGTGAAAGCATTTTTATCTTATGATTTAAGTTATACTTTACATCATAAATTGCCTCATGGGCTTAACTAAATATTCAATTTAATTTCTTTCCTTGTTTTATAGACATAAGTATTTCTTTATAATATTATATTATTATATTTATCCTGGGCCTTTGCAATATTCTTGAGAAATGAGGAAAAATTAAACCAACCCTGTTTAATCATATAACAAATTAACATTTTTAAAAAGCTTAGTGCTTTATGGTATAACATAATTAACATTTTTAAAAAACTTAGTGCTTTATATAACATAATTAACATTTTTTTAAAACTTAGTGCTTTATATAACATAATTAACATTTTTAAAAACTTAGTGTTTTATGGAAATGTGCTTATCCAGTGTGTGAATGCATTCTTTCTCTACACTGTATGTACTGTACACCCACACAACTAAAACACATCCAGAAATTCTTCTGTTTTGCTGGTTTCTGGACTTCCTAGTGAAAATTCAGATAAAAATCAAAGCAATGACAACTACATTATTCAAGGAAGAAGTATGAATCAAGACAACTCCAGAAGAGGATGTTGGCTGGCTCCCTACCTTGACAAAGGGTCCCCAGATCTGCACAGTTGGCTAGTTCTGCGGCTGGGAGCGGGATCAGGTAGGAACCTTGATTAACATAAAGAGAATATATAAGTTTGTCTTAATTAATTTAATTCATTGATATTATCCTGAAAAAATAAATGAAGAACCATATGGTTGGTATAATATGAACAGCCCAAGAAGACTCCATCAAGAATACTCCAATGGGAATAAATTCTTTTAAGGTTACTGTGTTTCAATTTTCTCAAGCACAGAATCAAGTTAGTAAAATTGCCTTCAAAATCTTTACATGAATTATCAGCAATCCACACATAAAATTAGAAGTGCTATTCTCCTCCAAATTTTATAAAAAGTTCAAGGCCTTTTGTACAATATATTATAATGCTCTGGTGGAAATTCATAGAGATATAATATCAACAACAAGGAGAAGTTTCAGAAGTGAACTTGGATATTATGAGTCACTCACAAAATGCATATTTTTGGTCCACAAATGCTAGCACATGCTATTTGCAATTCTGGAAACATGGTTCTGTGACTTCAAGTTAGGCTCTGTCTTTTTATTTAAAGCTTTTACTGACTCATACTTAGCAGGAAACAAGTTTTGAGCTGATTTTCTAGTAGAAGTAGGGGATTTTCTCCATCTCAATAAATCTTCCTTTGGCAGTTAACAGTTTTGCCAGTACGTTGAGCCTGGGGAAGATAGGCTATGTTTATTATGAAAAAAGCATAATTCACCATGAATAAAGATATAAGAATAAATGCAATTATATATAAGATACACATTTATGAGAGATCTTCAAAATGTTCATGAAAAATGTATGTTATGAAAGACTACGCATGAATTTCAAAAATTTTTGGCACCAAACTGAACATCTTTTAGTTCTATTTTCTATGAACTTGTTGAAGTATTCTCTTGTATGTGTGTACTACAAAAACAAACTTACAAGTATAAATATATATATACAAAATGATACATACTGTATCCCTAATTTTATTATTTTTAAGCTACTGATTTCATTCTAATGTTTGAACATCTTCCAAACTTTCCCATGGGAATAACATGATGGGAAGGCAAGGCCAGCATATGAGCTAACCGAAGATGCCTACTTAGGTAAACGGTGTGCATAAGCAGAAAATATCTCAGTTTAACAGCATGCCTCAGGCACCAGGAAGGAATCACATATGGTAACTCAGAAAGACCTAACCCCACAGGCAAGTCTGTGAGATGACATTAACTCATCACAGACCTTTATAGACTCATGTAGCAAACATTTACTCATTATCTACAACATGTGAAGCAAGAAACCAGAACAATGCCTTAAGCAACGTCATGTCTCTAAACCAGACATGGATGGGAAATGGCCTCACAGTTCTGAATGCAATAGGAGAAGAGCTCTGAAGTGGTAGTGGTCCAAAGTGGGACATAATGGTAGTCTGGTCAGAAGAGCAAATAGGAAACCCATTCAAAACAAGGAGACCCATGAGGCATGTGAGGTCAGAAGGATTTCGGGTAAGAGAGTAGAGATTGGTATTACCAGCAAGTAATTTCTACAACATGCCATACCAAGTTCTGAAAAGGTCTTGGACTTGGGATTGCTTGGTAGGGTAACTGTAAGCAGTCAGTGCAGATGATCAGATATAAAAGTAATCAGTAGCTGGTGGAGGGCTTGGTAGAATATGCACACCATGAGAGCTGGGATCTTGTGTCTTTCTTCCAATGGTGAATTCTATACACAGTAAGTAGGTGCTCCAGCTTTACTGAAGAAATTACTCAACGTATTATGAATGACAGCTAAAACTGTGAACTCTTAAAGGCCATGGGAAAAGATGAAGGAGAACAAGGGTAGAAACTTAGATTTAGATTGAAAGCATTCTTTTTGAGGTTATAGAGCCAAAAAGGAGGAGATACAAGAAGCAGGAACAATACTAGTAAGTCAGGCTTTATATCATGAGTATAAGGAGGCCAGACATAAAGAGATGGATGTAAGAAATATGGAGGCACTGGCATTGCAGTGCAGCAGGTAAAAAGTCACTGCCAGGATGTCAAAATCTCATATGGGTGTTAGTTCATGTCCTTACTACTCCACTGCTGATCTAGCTCTCTGATCATGACCCAGTAAAAGCAGAAGATGGCCCAAGTGTTTGGGCTCCTGCCACCACATGGGAGACAAAATGAAGCTCATGGCTCCTGGCTTCAGCCTGGCCATTGCAACCATCTACGAACTGAACCAATGGATGTAAGCTCGCTCTTGCTCTCTCATTCTCTTCCACTTGCTCTCCCTCCTCCCTCCCTCCCTCTTCCCTCATTTCTGTAACTCTATCACATAAATAAATCTTTTTAAAAAAGAAATTTAATTATGGAGTATGTGGTTTAATGACTAATAGAAAACAGGAAAAGAAAGGGAAGAACTCAGATTCTACCGGTTTCCAACTTAAGAAATTGGTACATAATGATCACATAAAAGGAGACAGAAAATGCCAGGAGAAGAACAAACTTTGGAAGAGTGGGATAAATAGTCCAGTAATGGAAACAGACCACTATATATAAGTGGGAAGTTGTGTGTTTTTGTAAGAGGTTTTGCCAGGACATACTCAATGGAAGATATGGATGTGAAGAGAATCAGCAGACACAGACTGTTAGTTTGAGTAGAAAATAGGAGGGAACCATAAATATTCTGATATTTAATTATCTATCAAGTATAAGTAAAAGAGCTACAGACTCCCTATACAGCAGATGCTTTCCCAGAATTTAAGTAAAGAAAAGTTCATGGAGGTTGTAGCCATGTCATGTACACCAGAAGCATAAAGAATGATAAAGACTATGAATGCCTTCAACTTTGTATTGGAATTGTGGTAGTGTCGCCAAAGAAATTCGTTTCAGCAGCGTGGGAACAATGAAATCCAAACTACCCAAGTTTGAGTATTGAATGCAAGAAGAGGAAGCTTGGCTGTGAAAGAAAGCAGAGATAGGGAAGGGGAGTTTGAAAGACTGAAAACTTAAGTAAGTGTATTATGGATAAAAAGCACTGGAGAAGGCAGAAGCTGAGACGGAACTGAGGGAGACTTTTATCATGAATGCTCTCTGCCCATTATCACTTCCATGACAGTGACTGCTCATTATTAAAAGATCCGGATTTCTGAAAACTACAAAGTCTTCAAAACTCAACATGACTGATGTAATCTCAGTATAACACACAACAGAGGAGACCCCTGGATGGAGTTCCTGCAGTTCTCAAATTACACACAATGTTGGCAGTCAAAGGTTCCTTAAGCCATTTCTGGCACTGATACAGTATCTCTAGAAGACAAAGAGAGATAAGAGGAGAGTGTTGTGGGAAAGAAGTTTTAAGGCTAACTGCATTTTCACTACAGTGTGTTAAAGAGGTTTAGAGATGGGAAAAAGGAAAGTAAATCTGAAGAACTATGATTTAGAGTAAGGTTTTTAACAATATCCTTAACTATTTCATCAGTTCCAATGTGCAGAAACAAGGATGAACTTCAAATCGTGGCATCCTGTCATGGGAAATTATAATACTTGCTTCTCAATATTTTAAGTAGCTGTTCTTTTGGGATAATTTCTTGTTTCAGCAAATTAACATTGTTCTAAAAGTATTTAATACACACTATTTTATGATGACCCAATATAACAACAGAATTTATACTTGAATATTGTTTTGGTAAAAGTGGTATAAATATAAGTGGCAAATTTAGTTTAATTAGAAGGAAATTAAACTGGGTAATGAAATCTTATTTTAAAAATATACAAAATTTCAGAAACAAATACATGAAATATAAAAAGTATATACAGACTTTTTTATGAATATCCAGTTCTATTTCTGGCATATAAAGCCTATCACATGATCAATTTTCCTAGTCTGACAGATTTGCCACCAGCTGAGTATTAAGAAAGAATAAACATTCTTTCTACTGGACAGTGATTAACCTGTCATCTACAAATTGTTCTTAGAATGTGATCTGTGTATATTCACTGATTTATGAGGCTACCATGAAGGTATTGAAAGGTGTTTACTCAATATTAAGGGTAAATTTAGGTCTAATTTTTCTAAAAATAAAAGGAATTCACTGAAAATAGGCAGTTGATGAAAAGCTATAAAACTGTTAATCTTTTCCCCATTTATTGTGATTATTCTAAAATCATGCTACTGAGAGGTGTCAATAAATATTTACAAACACTGTACTAAAAAAGGGCTGATATATAGTCAGCAAATCATCTTTTACTTTATATAGTGAAAATTCGAATAATAGTGCAGTAAATCCTCAGACTAAGATGCAAAGTGAAAAAAATAATATTTTTCAGTCTGCTCTTAGTTGTTACTCATAAATAAATATATTTAACAGAAAATTATTTTAGAAGTCATCTATGCTCATAAAATGTTGAGCAACCTCAAAGAATAAAGTCCTTTGTAAACAGAGAGTGATTTTATCTCAAAAATGGGTGGGAGGGACGTTATGGAGGGGAAGCCATTGTAATCCATAAGCTGTACTTTGGAAATTTATATTCATTAAATAAAAGTTTAAAAAAAAAGAAAACTGAAAAAAAATGGGTTGGTAATCTAAAAATGCTGAAATCAATAATTCATTTGGGATAGAAGGAAGGGGATAATAATGACTGAAAGTTTTACAGTATAAAGGACAGAAATATAGTAATTAAAAATGAAAGAGTATGAATCCAAGATTTGGTGAGTCTTAAATACTAGGTGTAAAATTTTTGGAAATGAAAACCGAAGTTGGCACAAGTCCACATATTTCTAGAAAAGATCATCAACAAAGTTAAATACTTAGTATTTGCATTTTTTCTCCATAGCCATAGTGACTAAAAGATGGAAGTGTTTAATACGTGCTTGTTAAATAGATGTAACTTAATTGAACCTGGACTATTCATTGAGTTATACTGTGCCACTCCTCAGGAAAGAGCAGTAATCAGTAAAATAAATAAAACTGGTAGAGAAGGCACTGTCTGTTCTTTATGAAAATTGATGGATGTTAGCCAGTATCTAAACTTAAATCATAACACAAGCAAATACTTGTACCTACAATTAAAGAGT